TGCCCGTCTTATTCTTATATGAGCTGAAAGCAGAGCTTGAATAAAGTCCGGCCCACAATTTGAATTCATTTATAATACAAACAGATATATGTTCCTTATAATAATTGGATGACTGGATAGTATGCCCGAACCAATGAGGCCAACCTCAAACATATTCGCCACCGTAAAGCCATAAAAGCTCGAGCGATAAATTTCCGGACCCACCAATGTGGCCACAAACAGCATCAAGCTGACGCCCTAAACCGAAAATAATATATAATTATTATATAGATTATAAGATTGGTAAAATATATAATTTATTTGAAGCGTACGTACCCACATGGTAAAGTCATAGCCCCAGGGCAAGAACATAACGCCCGTATTATACTTTTCCACATGCGTAAAATAGAAATTGAGAAACACGTTCCATATAACAAAAAACATGCGTATTGGCGGCAAGTCCGCCGTGCCAAACAGTGAAAATATATAGATGGGTATTAGAGCTGCCGAATATGAGTCCAAGCCATGATCGAAGAGCTCGCCGAGCGGACCACTCGTGCCCGTGCGACGCGCCTGCTTGCCATCCATGCCATCTACATTAGCTCGGATTTAGTCACGATTTCAGATCAATCGAATCCCACGCTACTCACCCAAATTATAGTAGATGAGTATGTTGATGGCCGCCACGGTCCAGACCCAGCCGGGCACCGTATTGCCCACCGATTTGTCATTGGCCGCCTTGAAGTCCCAGTCGTAATAAGCTATCAATATGAAGTTCACCACGGTCATGAGAAAACCCACAAAAGTGAGTATATTGGGCGCCAGCCACATCGGTAAATACTGCACGAGAAGATCTGTGAACCTCTATTGAGTGTTACGCTCGGCGGAGAATACATACCTTCACGCAGGAATTCCAGAACGGATGCATTATATAGACACTCAGAAAGCTAGTGTCTATGCTGTTGTACTGTCAAGGAAACATAATAAATAATGAAAAGTCTTAGAGCATGTTTCAGTTTAACACATTTTGCTTACTGACTAACTCACTGACTGACTGAATAACTAACTGACTGATTGACCGACTGATTGACTGGTCGATTGTCTGACTGACTCACCGACTGCCTGGGTGACTGTTTGATTGACTGACTGACTGGTAATCTGACTGAATGATTGACTGACTGACAAGCCGATAATCTGATTGTTTGACTGACTATGTAAGTGACCAGCTGATTGACTGACTGCGTGAGTGACTTACTGACTAATAATGATTAACTAACTGATTGACTGACTGATAATCTGACTAATTGACTGATTGACTGACTGACACACCTATTGCATGACTGACAGACTAACTGACTAATTGACTGACTGTCTTACTGACTGACTCGCAGAGTGAAGGACCGACTCACTGATCGACTGATTGTCAGCCTAACCGATTGATTACCCAACTAACTGACTTAATGACTGACTGTCTGACTGAGTAACTGTCTAAGCTGTAAAAGCTTGCAACACTTATTGTAAACTAACTAATACATAAACTAATAAGATTTGATATGAATATTACAAGTAGGTAATTTGAAAAGCTTTCAATAAAACCAATAAAAAATTATTTTCCTTCTGTCACGGTAAAGTTTACGTTGTGTAAATCAAGTTCACATCAAATTCCATTGCAATGGTAACTTGGACAACACAATGCCAAAGTAAATGAAATGGATAAAATATTTCATGCTAGAAGGTCTAGTCAATGCCAATATCTAATCACATCGGGCAAAACTTAAACAACATAAAAGACAAACCTATATATATATATAGACCCACTTATAATTAGATGTATAACAAAAGCACAGGAGCTTTAATTTTAATTTGTAATCAGACAGAGAACTTCAATTGACGATTACATTAGTTATGGGCCAGTATATATTGTTCTTTATTTAAATTTTAATTAAATTAAATACAGTTTTAAAGAATATTCTTTATGTATTTTCTGGATTATTTTCTGCTTGCAAACAGTCAAATGGAATGAATGAAAATTTAAGAAAACCAAAAGTTTGACGCACATCTAAGCTATGACTATACGATCTATTAAGATCCTTAAGAAACCTTAAAGGATTTCGTCTAGAACTCTAGATCAGCTTAGCTAAGGCATATTCATTTTCCATATATTACAAATGTTATATAGATATTTCAATTAGCAGTCTTTCATATAGCATTAAGCCTCTCTCTCTCTCCCACTCTCTCTCTCACTCGCTGTCACTCTCTCTTTCTCTGAACTCATCTTACTTATAAGTTAATCTCTTAAGTACAAATTCCACACTATGAGTTTGCCAACTATCTCTCAACAGCGCGCACATGCTACATTCGCAGTTCAATGCCTTCTCTGGGATTTACGAAACCTGTGTGTTCAGCATCATCCGGTCTATTTAATTGATGACCTAGGCCTAGTCATGCCTAGGGCGTACAGCCTATTTGATAAGCATGTCTAAACACATGTCAGTGACAGTGATAGCAAAAAAGTAAAAAAAATAGAATTAATAGATCAACCCATTGCCCAATTCCTTAGATTAAACACAATTGACATGTGTGTACGATCATTTATATATTTGCAATATATGTACATACATATATAAACATATTTATAGCTCACAAACCGGAACTCGTCGTAATCCTGATAATTATATTATAAACCGATTTGCTTTGTGGCATATCATCAATTTGATTAAATACGACGCCTATTTAATTATGCATGGTAGGGGGTGTGCGGTGGTGGGGGGACATTGATTTTTGTAGGGGGTCTGCAAGACGACCCCATTTCTATAGAAGCCGAATAAAACCCATTTAATGCTTACCTTGTAACGCTCGAAGCCCCGCAAATGAGTCTCCGACAAATAGCGCATGTTACCCATATTGTTATTGTTATTGTTTTGTTTAATATTTTATTTACTCTTGTTGCCCGTTGTTGTTGTTGTTCTTGTAGTTGTTGTTGTTGTTGTTGCTGTGATAACAGCAGAGCGCACAGTTAAATATCAATATAATAATGACCTTTGCCTGGGGTCAAATATAAGCTACTGTCTTCGATTTAAACATTGTATAATTATATTCGCTTCACTTGTAAATTCTCGCAGCTGTTCACCGGCACGCACTTTCCTCCAATTATTTGTATTTTTTATTTATTTCTTTTTTTAACTATAAACCATAAATTAAATAATCGCTTATAGAGATACGGGGGATGCGTTCGCCGTTTGCGCTGCGCCTGCTGAGCCCTTTGTTGTTGTTGTTGTTTTTGACACGCAACACGCAAACAGCCGTTACTTCACGAGACACACATATATATGATACATATACCTATATATATATATATACACCTACTGCATATAACAGTAAAGCACTTGTGAGACGTAACGAGAATGAAAACACTTTGCGACTGCCTCGGCTCTACGTATTATCAAGACTGAAGACGAACTGCTGCCCGGCAGCTCGAGCGCAGCCCAAAAATTAAAAAAAAAAAATAGAAATAAACAACAACAAGAAGGTTTCAGGGAGTTAGAACCGACTGCGCGATACTCTATGCAATTATGTATATAATACAGAGGCGAAGAATTACAAAAGAATAAAGCAGGGCCTAAATCGATTCATATTTTTTTGCTTTATCAAAGAAAGTTGTTAGTTAGAAAATAGAAATGCAAATATTGTTAGCTTTTGACACTGCACTCACGATAGCTTAAATACTCGTAATATAAAGAGTTTAACCAATTTTTACATATACATTTATATATACATATATAATTCATAAGAAAATGTAAATTGAATATACTTTTATTATATTTTTATAAATTTATTTTATAATCTTTAAATCTATAATAAAATATAGACAAATCACACTCAATTTGATTTTAATTTAATCTAAATTTGATGAATTTAAATCAATTTTTTAACAATTTTGATAAAAAAATAAAACAAATATAAATTATTTAAGCGGGCCTTGTACAAAACCGAAACCCTAGCTGACTTTTAAATTGAGTTTTTATCCAACTTGTAGGAGCTAATGTGGGCGTGGCAGTATTTTTAAATTGTTTTTTAGAGTCGCGTTGGTGACTTTTCCACCTGTAAGAAATACGCATTACCAGAGTTTGCCCAGGTCTTAATGGGCGTGATCAATAATCTTTAACGCTTTGTCTGACATATATACCAAGTTTCTAGACGTATGGACGATGACACGCATATACCCAATTTCAATTTTTGAATAGAGTATCGAAAAAAAAATCAAATCGTTTAATTTACAACGCCGACTGCGGCTGAGCTACTGGCGTCGGACTCTCGCTCCGGTTTCACAAATCCCATTGCACACATTATTATCGCCCAGACTGCGCCTCTCTTTGGACTATACGTAAATCCTCACTCACACTCACAGACACACACACAAATGTATGTGCGTGTGTATGAATTTGCATTGAATGAATCAAAAATTGTAAAACCTAAGCAAGCACTACTAGCACATCGGCCACATAGGTTATTGGTTATCATGGAGTGCCTGCCGCATGGTTTAGTTAGGCTCCAGCTGATAGCCCCAATCTGTGGGACAAAGTATAAGGCAAATGTGAGGTGAGGTTGTTTATTGGCATCCCAATTGAGACCGGTTAATGTGCACCGTGAAATCTGACAGAACCGTAACCCTCATCATGTGACTGTGGGAACTGTGGTTGGCCTGCTCTTGGCTAAATATAGCCCCCATTAAATTTATTATTTAACGGCAACAACATATTTTTATTTATTATTTCAAAATAGTTCAAGTTCAACTGATAACCCAAATAGCTAACGAGTTGCCATGTGACGAATAAGTTAATGTCAATGTAATCAATATATTCGTTCTCTCGAAAAAGAAGATGGTATTTCGAAATAATGAATCAAAAATAAAGCAAAGGTATTTCTCAAGAGATCCTTGAAACTTGTATTTAATCAATTTTATGTGGGGCAAATTGTACGATACAACACATCCATGTTTCACATAAGTGTGTGGATTTACTAAACGTGTGAAAATTACAATCATTATATCTTCGATACATATACATATATATATCTTCGATGTCTATATGGTTGATTCTCTACGCTGATTATCAATCAGTCTGGACTTAATACCGGAACTAACGCTTTCTCTTTACATTCTTACATTCTCACTCTAGTTTTCTTGAAATGAGTTTAACTCTAGTAAAATATTATACAATTGTTTTTTCCCCCTTTTTTCACTGCTTCTCGTGGAATTGTTAAATAATGCATCAAATCTGAAAAATTCAATTTTCTAGCTTTTACGGATTTGGACGATTTATCAGCAATTGATAAGATAGTCAATCGAAGCCGAATTTTCCTTCAAACAAATTCGTTCATATGAACGAAACTGATTGATAAAATGTTTCGTTAAATCACAATTGTATAAAACTGTGTATTAAAATCGACGTTGTTAATTTCCTGCCCCAAAAAAAAAAATAAAACAAGTGTAATCATAAGTACATATCATACATATAAGTATATAGTATACAGATAACAGTGCAGTCTTATCTAAATTTTGATGACTGGAAAAAAACAGGTCTATAAATAAACGGGGCATAAACACACACATAATTGAAGTGCAACAGAGAATTAGATAGAATCTAAAGAAGAAGAATTTATGGATTGTATTCAGCGAAAAACTAGGTGCTAATTCGGCAGGTAACTAATTGAGCCATCTGGATGTCTCCGTGGCAGTCAGACCCTCGGAGCGCAGACGCTGCAGCATGGGGCGATAGATGTCCGGCGTGAAGGGCAGCAGCACGCCGCGTTCCTGGATCTCACCTATAAAGCAAATGATATTTGAATATAATTATGACTGTATATATATGTATATATATATAGAAATTCGTTTACGCACCATCCAGAATCATTTTAGCCGCAATGGCAGCAGGCTTGCCCACGGTCATGGCCATGGCGGAGTGTCCCTGCGGCTGGCCATAGACAACAAAATTGATGCCGCGCTCCTCGCGACGACCGTCGGGCCAACGTATGCCCACCTCGTGGCGCAGCACGACCAGATCGCGCTCGTCACGCTCTGCAAAGAAAGCGCTATTGACTTGGGACGTGGCCGAGTGGAACAGATTGAAGCACTTACCAAAGGCCAAACGCTTGGACAAATAGTGACTGAGCGTATCCAGCGGGGAATGAAGCTTAACAACAGGGGTTTCATCCAGCAGACCCAGGCTCTCGATGCCATCCACATCGCCCAGACGCTCGACTAGCTTCTGTTTGAGGTTCTCATAGAAGATGCTCGTATCGGACATGCCCAGCAGATGTGTGACCAGCTGCCGCCATGTGACATCCGGTCCGCTGGGATGCAGCAGGGCATTCGGCTCTGGATCAATCAGGCCCAACAGCTGCATGGGCTTTATGGACTCGGAGAAGCCTTTGTAGCGTATGGTGCCGCGCAGCAGCGTGTGCACATCCCGGCCCAGACCATAGAGCGAGCCATATTTGGTGGAATCGCGATTCGGGAAGCCCTCGAGCGCGAAGCCAGGCAAAAAGTCCAAGCTGCGTGGATTGGACATCAGCTCGCCACCGCCAGAGATCTCCACAATCTGGCCCTGGCTCAGATATTTGGCAGCCGACAAGGTATTGAGCAGCACGCCACGCGGCGACCACGAGAACTTGTAGCGCAGCGCATTATTGGAGTGCTCCGGTGCGGGCAGGCCGCCACAGTAGCTGACAAAGGATTCAACAACGGCGCCCTTCTCCTGCACCTCGTGTATGCACTCCAGGGCCAACAGATGATCAATGCCCGGATCTAGGCCCACCTCATTCATGATTGTCACACCATTCGCACGCGCCTCCTCATGCAGTGCCGATATCTCATCATTCAGATAGCTGGCGGTGACCATGTGGGTGCGTTCCGCCACACAGTAGCGCGCAATCATGCCATGCAGGCTGTAGGGCAGCAGAGAGACAACCACATCCGCCTTGCCGCACAGCTCCTGCAGATGCCCGGTGCTCTCGTGCACGTCCAAATAGACGCTATCCACGCCCGCATACTGTTGGGCCAAGCGATCCGCCTCCTCCTTTACCTGCGAGCACACCGTTATGCTCACATCCTTCTCCCGATGCAGCCACTCGACCAACGGCGCCGAGACCATGCCGGCGCCCAGCACCAGTACCTTCTTGTGCGACTCGGAAAGGCCTTCCATCTTGTGGCGCGAGCGATTGCTCTGCGAATCGCGCAGCTCTTGAATATACTGGAAACCCTCAGTCAGCTCGCCGTTGCTAGCGATAATTGCCTGAACAAGAGAGGGAGAGAGAGAAAGAGAGAGCATGAAATAATATGTGCACTTATGTATTTACTTGGATCTGATAAGCTAAAGGTGAACACGTGCTTACACATTCCATATACTAATCAAGTCTTATAGACATAAACATTTCCATTTAAATGAGTATATTTTTAAGATAGATAAGAATATATTTTTAGTATCAAAATATTCCTAGTTTATATTCGATAACTGCTATAACTGATAGCACTAAAACAAATCCGACTAGTTTTCAAATACTGGGAACAAAGTTTTATAGTGGGAAAAAAAAGGTTTAAAGTAAATTTTGATGATTGTGCTGTATTTTTTTTAAGTATACGAATCCAAAGCAATAAAAATTAATGGGGCGAATTTCATGATCATCTTCCTCGGCAAACTGTGGGGTATATCGTTTTAAGCACTTCTCTGAAATGGATACGCAGGCAGACAGACAGCCAGACGGGCATTGTAAACATTGCAAAAAATTACTTTTCCTATAAATGCGTAAGAAAATCTGCTTTTGACAAGGGCAGGCGGACAGCCCAAGTTATGAACATCTAAATCTATCTATATCTAAATTATAAAATGAAAAAGCTTATATTATGCCATAGCACAAAATGTATATGAAATTATCAAAAGTAAATTCAAAATATTCTATAAAATTTAGACATGTGTACGCAGGCAGATAGACTAACATTATACTAAATAAATACTAAATATACTAAACTAAATTATATAATAAAGAGTTTTATATAAATATGGGGCTTAGATTCCAGTTAGAGGATACAAAAACTCCTATAAATGAGTTTTAGTTATGAAATATTCAAGATTAATTATACCATAGAAGAAATCGTTTAAGAAAATAACAATATAGGATTAAAATGATTCCACAAAATATGACAGAGATATTTTGGATATTGGAACGCTGATGTTTAAATTATATAATGAAGATGCTTATATTATTCGAAAAGTAGATTCCAATACCATGGAATATATTCCCGATAATCTTATTAAAAACGCAACAAAATGGGATAAAGTTAAATTAAATTAATGAATATAAAGCTAAACTCATTTCATAGAAGACTTTTTGATGCGATCATTAAAACACCCATTTTGTTAATTTTGTTTCATAAGATCAAGGGAAATATTCCTACTTCTAGAATTTTCCACGATTTCCAATCAATTTTACTCAGAACTTTAGAGAAATTTATGACAGCTAGCTAAGCTGCCTGAACTGTCTACATATACTAATAAAATAAATAAAGCTATAAATATAGATTCCATATAATCTGAGAGCAATATTCGATCTTTACTTAAGAGACATAGATCTATCGACTGCCACAAGAAACCCCTCTACTTACCGACTGTATGGGATAGGAAAAGTTCTCTTCGTGCAGCGGCTTTTTGGCATCGCTCCTGATGATATCATGGACATGGGGCGTTAGGAGTTCACCGAAAAGATCGGTAGACTCGCGAGGCAGCTGCGTGGGCATATTATCAATGGAGCAGACCAGCACTCCGGGTCCCTTGAAACTTTTGGTATCCTTGTTGCGGTCCGCATCGTACAGACAGAAGGGCGTATCGATTGTGGTGCACTCATTCATGAACTCTATGGAGCCGCCCGGATCGGCGGATATATCACAAATGGCGAGCATGCGATGTGGCAGTGCAGGGCTGCCTTTGCTGGTCGGCAGCCAGGGCGTGTTGGCCGGACGTAGCAGATTCTTGGCATCCGGAATGCTAATTAGCTTTGGGCTGCCCACAGCCCAGTAGATGCCATTGAGAATGACCGAAGCGTAGGCCGCAATTTTCTGGCTAAATGTGGAAATATAACGTTCGGGAAACTCATCATACTCCTTGGCATCAAAGCCGCCGCCCTCGCGACGCTCCAAATGATCCGAGCGGCTAACCTCGCAGCCGTACAGCTTATTTTGATCTAAATTGGGCACATTTTAGAGATTTCAGATTATATATTTCATTTTCAATACTCACTGCCGTGCTCTGCCACTTTGCGCAGCATCTCTGGCGGCACATACTCCACGGGCAGCTCGGAGAACACTTCCTGCGCACCCTGGGACACATTGCCGGAGCCGGTAAACACAAAGGTCAATGGTCCAATGGACTTGGGCATCATGCCCAGCGATATCTCATAGCCACAGTCGCGAATCGCCTGGCGGGCCATCGAGGAGTTGCGATAGTTATGCGCAGGTCCTATGTGCATGAAGGGTGTATGATGGCCCAGCGCCAGCAGGCGCAAGCCAATGCCATGCAGGATGTTCACCATGCCAGCTACTCCTGCGTATTTGCCAAACGCCACCTGGCGGGCGCCGCGCTCATCAATGATGCGCTCGTAGTCGATGAGGCGGATTTTCTGTGAAGCTTCGATTTTCAAGAGACCTGAAGATTTGTATAGTTTCTCGGTCCACTAACCTTCTCGAGTATGGCATCCAGCAGTGGCATATTCGATTCTTGCGCCTTGATCGTGTGCGAGAAGAAGCAGTATGTCTTGCCCGGAATCAACGCATCGATGGGCACCTGCTTAACGCCAAAGATCACGGAAGCATCGCTAATGTCCTCCTGTATCTGGGCACCAGCTTGCATATATGCCTAGATATATAAACACGTGTAAAGAAATATAAAATGGATTTTTGTGTAATTTGGAATTCTAAGAAATGGTCGAAATTAACTTATCTAATCGATTTCACATGCTATTTCCCCAAATATTATGCTTGCGAGTTTCCTGAGTATTATCATTTTTTTTCTTATCCGTAATCTCGCATTTAAGGTCTTAAGTATTTACAGTAAGCATAACATGCGATATTGGTTGACTAATGCCAAATCTAATTTATGGTTAAGAACAACTAAGCTACTCTATTGGCATTGTCAAAAGTTTGGCATAAATCTAAAACTCTTATTTATAGGAAAACAATTTTTGGATGATTTAACTGAAGAATTTTTGAAAACCTTAATTGCAAAGCCAAATTAAATAAACTAAATTTCAAATATTTTAAATTTTTTTGCAAGGATTTCATTTTTGGAATCAAATTGAACGCTAAAAAGAGCGTTTTACCTTTTGGAGAAAGTCGGTTTTTTAAGATGAACTAATTCTTGCTATTGTATAAGGTGTTATATATGTTAACCATCAATTAATATAATTCAATTAAATATATTATTCTCCTTCAAATCATGATCTATAAAACTAGTATGGTCCTTGGCAACTAATCACAAGTGATTTTCCCATTGGCTATCATGATGTTGTGTTATTGTTTTGAAAATGTCTATCAACATATATTGTTTTTGTTAAACTAGATTTTTATCTGGCGTGAAATCAGTTGACTGGACAGCAACAATTCCGAGCGAGATAACACGGAATTACGCTCCGTTTTCGGGCTTTGACTGGTTCCAAGGCCAGCAGCAATTGCCAAATTTAGAGCCCAACACGGAGAAGCTTATCAAACACATTTTTTTTTATGATGCCGCCCATTAAACGTATCGTTCGACACAGTAAACACGCTGCTGTAGCTAAGCCACATATGATACGATGTTGAAAAGATTTGTTGATTTTATATATATATATATTGGGTGTACACTAATGCACTCTTGTTTTCCTTTATATATTCATATTATTGATATTTTCTACTGGGCTTGAACCGGCGACCTTCCGCATGTTAGTCCGACGCTCAGGCAAAGCCAAAGCTGAGTTGTTGACCCAAAAGGAAGCTTATTTCTAAATTTCAGCCTCAGAGCTATTACTGCTTGGGCTAGGCATTGATCACCAATCAATCAATCAATCAATTAGTCAGTAAATCAATCAATCAGGACAATCTCTTTAATATACAGAAATTTGGTAGTCTTGACTCACCCGCATAGGATAGGCACGTCGATTGGAGGGCTGTACAATGACCTTGACGCCCTGCTTGACAAGCTTCTGGACATGCGTGGGTCCAAATGGCGCACGACGCTCCCAAACCGATTGATCCTCGCGACGTATGGCAATTACGCGGCTGTGCTGTAAATGTCAATGTCAGAGCGTATAACAAACGGGGATTCGCACGAGCTGCATCCCAGCGGGTATGCAAATTAATGACGTCCACTTACATGACGCTGTCTGGTGAGCGCAGGCGCGGTTGTTGGTCGCAATGGAAGCAATCGCCACATGTTTGCTTTGTTGTTTGCCAATGCACTTGCTGATTAAGAGGAGCTGGAGCGCTGAGAGTAGTCGCCGAATTTTAAAGTGTCTAACGAAAAATATATATGTTCCCAAATGCTGATGCCGATGCACCATCCGTCAGCACTGAGCACTCGCAGCGTTCTAACCCCGAGCAAGACGTCGACGCGCCCCTATCAGCGGCACGGACCGACGGACGGACGCACGGACGATCCGACAGATGGACGGACGCATGTTGGCGATAAGCGGTCATACAAGGCAACGCTGAACGCCGTACAGATCGTCTCCGGGGAGCGTGTAAGCCTAATAAAGAAACGAGAGGCGTGTGTATTAAGGTTTTTTTTTTTATGATCTGCTACTTACGCGCGAGTCGCTCACGCAGTGAAAGTGTTTCCAGCTGAAAATTTTCCATTCACAATCAAATTCCATTGAAGAAACGCGCTTGGAGTTTTCCACACGTGACACATTGATACGAGATAAGCATTTTGGTGTTAAAGCATATACATATATATATGCATATATATGTTTTTTTTTTATTATAATTCATAATTGCAATTAATCGGTTTCATAGTTTCGTTTTGCCTTTATAGCAATTGTAGCCATTCACATCAAAAACAATTTTATTTTTTCTTATCGCTAAAAAAATCACTAAAGCTACGGGGGGGCTAGGCTGAGGCACGGAGACGCAGGGTCAGGCCCATTTTTGCATGCTCCATGCACATACAGACATATTATAAATATACATATAATTCATTACATAGCTAGAAAAACAGATATTGCAAAGTTCAGGTATGCATAAATGATAAAATTTATAAATGTGAAAAGTGTGGGGAGTGTTAAGAAGGAAATAATGGAAACATAATCCAGAGGCCACATAGAATTGGACGCAGTACGACGTCAGCCTTTACAGCGCCGGCGCCTCGGGCAGCAGCGATGTGAAGAACGTTATGACAAATGTGCGCACAATAGAAATCACAGAGTTATTGGCATTCGCTGGCTCAACAGCCACAGCCTCAGCGGCAGCAGCAGCAGCATCGGCCTGATCCGCACCAGCGCTAGCTGGCGCTGGTGGCCGAGCTGCGTCCTCCTGTGCAGCGACTGGTGCTGGTTCAGCGGCAGCCTGCGGATTATTGTCATGCTCAACGGCAGCGTCCATCATGCGTTGAATTTGCTGCACAGCCGCAAAGGCGGCAATATTATTGCCGCCAGCATTGTTGTTGCGGTTGATGTTATTGTTGTTGCGCTCGCGACGACGTCGCAGTACACCAATGTGATAGCTAGAAGCGAACAAAAATGATTATGAGTTATTTAATTTAGCAAATCATTTTGGCTTTTAAGCCCACTCTCGTACTCACAGATAAATAACACTTGCGATGAGCACCACCAGCAAACAGCGCATTGGCGACGAATTGAAATATAAAACTGTTATAAAAATGGCCAATCGGGTAAAGCTAAAGAAACTATCCAGCCAATCGCGCATCTCCGGCTCCTCTTGTATGTTAGGAAAATTGAGTCCATCCACTTGACGGGCCGCCGGCTGCTGTGCAGCGGCCTCCTCATTTGGCTGCCCAGCACCAGGGCCAGTAGCGCCCGCCACCGGCACCGGCTGATGTCCCACAAGCGGCACACCCATATTGTTGGCTAGGCCAGGCATACCTTGCATAAAGGGAGGCAGCATTGCTGGTGGCAGAACACCGCCCGTGCCGCTAGTGCTGAAAATAAACAAATCGATATATTATTATTTTATTTACTGTACATATATAGATAGTTTAAATGTGTAAGAACATTTAACTCACGCAAAATATCTGTGTTTGCCACTTTTACATTGAATAACACGCGAACATGGCTATAACAATTTGGCTAGATATACATATACACCGATATACTATAAATTGTGTGAGCTTGCAAGGATATATAAAAACAAATAAAGATATCGCTTTGAATTGCTTGCAAAATCAATAATCTGCAAACGTGGCGCAGTCTCAAACTGTTGACACGTGATATATGAGCGAATATTTGCGGAATTAGGAATTATTTATAGCTGTCGCCAAAGAAGCAACGTCGATATATAATACCCTGCCCCAGACACCTCAGTGACTAAGACCAAAGACTGAAATTTTGTTATAAATAGTTTTAAAAACCAAAAAAATACAAAGACTTTCGGCTGAAGTTTTATATATTAGTATTACTCAAAGCTGACAGGGTGTATCCTAGTTAAACTTGTTGCTAGAGTCATGCATAAACGAGTCACAGATTAAACCTGTTTTAAAAGGAAACCTTTTCGCAAAAGCACTGTGGAAATTAATCTCAGATATTTACTACCTGACTATGTTATGACTATATCATATATCAGAACCCATATCATTTCTATTTACGCACGCTTTTTGGGAACTCACCGTTGCATCGTCTGTTGCATATACACTGCATACCACTGCTGGATCCAGGCATTGTACAGAAGCACCTGCTGCCGCTGGAAAGCCATTTGTGAAGTTGGGGATGTCGATGCCGATGCCGATGTCGATGCGCCCTGGGCCGCAGCCATTTGATAAGCCTGATTTTGCAACTGCAGCCAGGGATGAGAGTCAATCGTTTGCTGTAGGTTTGACTGCTGGTAAGGAATCTGAGCTGCGGCAGCTGCAACGGCGGCGGCCATATGACGCTGCCTCAGCTCGTTGTCAGTGGCATTGATATCCACGCGGCGCGGCGCGGCTGTGGCTGTGGCTGTGGTCTCCTTTGGAGGCGTGGTTGTCTTATACGGTGCCTTGGTAATATTTTTGTTAGCGCACACCAAATGAAAGATGTGATACTGCTGATAGACATCCTTGTAGCTGCGTATAACCTCCGATAGCTTTTGGGCATCATCCAGCAGTTTGCCCGAATAGATGAGCTTTTGGTCGTTAATTTCCTGTAACACAAAATAAATACCACTTTTATTAGCTTCTAATACAATAGCAAGGGTAGGCTTTAAATAAAAACAAATAAATAGCCAATGAATTTGGGTGAATTTAAAATGCAGGATTGGAAGTTATTAATTTCCAGTACAGAAGAGACTTTGCATCGACAGGGCAACTGGCTGCATCGAAATAGTGTTCAGTCTCTTTCTCTGTCCATCGGTTTGTTTGCAAGCTAATCTCTAATCTCCAAGTCTATGCATATCTACCTATGATAACAAGCTCCAGTATAGCTTGGACTCACAACAAAAACGTATGCTATTAGTTTCTCCTGAAGATGTCGCTAAATAAGCTTGAAGTTTTTTTGATTATCAAAAACTCCGCCTTTGTTGACTACCTACGGACCAGGAAGTTGAGCTTTTCACAGCATTTTTTGTGTATTTCTAAGCAAGTTTATGGCTTTTCTTACGAACCGTTTCAAACCCATTTAAGAAAACATATATACAAATCTCCTTAACACATCGTTCACCCGTATCACATCGTTTTCGCGCAGCCAGCCAATAAATGATATTTATACTCTGCACTGCATTTTTAACATATGACATCAAACTAACAACATTTGAGACATATATACATATTGTACGTAGAGTATATATGTATTAGCTTGCCGGGTGCCAAGATATTTTTGCTTATTAGATTAACTTTATCTAATATTGTCTGATGAAATGAAAGCAATTTAGCTTTAACTAGCCTAATACAATAAAAATAAGTTGCGTTAGACGTGTCCAATTGTTGGCTGCACTTAGAGTTTGTATTAAATGACGTGTACTTCGGCAAGTCAACGCTAAATTAAGACGCAAAAGACAAACAATTTTCGCTCTTTGAGCGTAGAAGATACACATATAGCAAATAACCAAAGATTGGCCAGCGCCCCGCTTGATAAGATAGGGCATGTTCAAGGCTGACGTGAATATGAGGAATATGCTAATATATGTATATGTGTATGTGTGCGTGTGTGTTTGTGTCTGTGTGTTCCTGTGTGTTTGTATGTTGTGTGTATGCGAGAACCTACCGGCTTGCCGGGATACACCAGGGACAGCTGCTTCTTGAGCCTCTGCACCGTCCAGCAGAGATCACTCTCGATGTTCATGTCGTCGTACTGCTGATTCGACGATTTAATCAAGAGCCTAATGCTGTTGGCTGCGACAGCGGCAGCGGCAGCGACGCCTTCGTTTGTTTTGTCGCGCGCAGCATCATAGCCAGCGGCCGTAGCTGCCGCTGGGGACGGCGACGGCGTCGTGGCTGCAGCGGTATCGTCCATAGTTTAACCCTCACCCTCCCGGGCACTTTCTGCGACGTTGCTAATTGCTTGCTACGCACACTCGATACAAAATGGAGCAACAATGCCAGCGACAAGCGACAAGTGTTTTTAGTGGGCTCGTGATTCGTCAGCGTCCGGCAGTTGGTAGGGGGTGGGCAGTGGTATGCAGAGGCACCGTATTTTCCTCTATACTTGTGTTTGTATTGTGTAGACTTCCACGGTCACTTTACGTCTCCCCTCTGGCACGATTTTCATTAACAATAAATTTAGCTAATCCCGAATATTGATTGAGTTCTACTAAAAACGTAGCTGTTGCTGTGTTTCGTTATGCGGCTCCTTGCATTAAAATGAGAACTGTTGATTATGAAACGAATTTCCGAACAGAGCCGAGCTGAGCAAAATAAATAATCAAAGTTCCTTCGTCTACAGCAACACTTGTTTTAATACACAGCCAGGGTTGCTTTGGCAGCTGTGGCGTTGCCACTCTCGACGACATGACGTGTATCTAGCAGATGTCAGCAACTATCTGTTTAATATTATATTTTATATGGTACCATTATTATTTACTATTGAAAGTAAAATCAATCCATAAATAATTATAGTATAAACAGTCTCAGGGCAAACAATAACAAACGGCAAATTTAGTACATTATTAATGCCGAGTGATTGGCAACACTGTCACATATATCAAGTTATTTTGAAGAGACGCTAAATATAATTTGTATGCGTATTTCCCAAGCGCAGAAGCGTGTGCAGCTCGCCAATAGATTTTTCAAAAATTCCGGGGTATATTCAAGCGCTCATGGAGAACAAGTCATCTGTTTCGGCGCTTCAAGAATATTGCGCTCAGGCCAAGACTGGTAATCCAGTATATGATTATATTGACGGCGAAGACGGCGGTTATGTTTGCAAAGTCGTTTTGCTGGACATCGAAGCCTATGGAAATGGTAGGAATATGTAGCAAACATTAAAACCAATATTAAAAACTGAATTTAATCTTCGCAGGACGTTCCAAGCGTGATGCCAAGCATTTAGCTGCCGCCAATATATTGCGCAAGTTGCGACAGCTGCCGGGCTTTATTAACTTGGATGCAGATGGCGACGGCGAAGTGCAGGACAACTTTAATTTAAACAGCCTGGCCGAGCTGACAAACATGAACAGGGACATGTTGAAGGAGCTGCGTGATTATTGCGTACGTCATGATATGCCGCTGCCTATCATTGAGATAGTGCAGCAGAGTGGCTCGCCAAATGCGCCCGAATTTGTGGCCTGCTGCTCCGTGGCCTCCATCAAGCGTTATGGCAAGTCTGACAAAAAGAAGGATGCACGCCAGCGCGCTGCTATTGAAATGCTGTGCATAATATCGAACGATTCGGACAAAGCTAGCCCAGAGACGCAGCTGGTGAGCACCAAGACGGGCAACCCTAGCGAACTGGAGAGCACCCTTGAGGACGTAGAGGCCGAGCGTCGTCGCAAATTCAAAACATATCGTGAACTGACCGATGCCGGAGGGGAAGAAAATCAATCCGTCAAGCTATGCGATCGTCACAATTACTTCAAATCATTCTATCCACAATTAAAGGAGGCCGCTTTTGAGGTTCTGAATTCCACTGATCACGTTTCGTCCAAGGCAAAGCTCTCGGCTGTGCTCGGCGCACTTAAGCTAAATCCACGCATCACACCGCTGGAAGCAAAGTCAATGGAACCTGTGCTGCAGATTGAATTGAATTGTGATTACGATTGCGTGTTTATTGGTCCCGAGAGCAAGATCTATAATAACATGATCCAATACTTTCGTGTCATGTTGGTTTAGACTGAATGCGATCAGAAATGCTGGTGTTTCTGTATATATAACATATATTTCAACTAATACTTAAAACTAAATAAACGTGTTATTTACAATAAACACTTGAAATAATGCACATGATTATTATATATATACGTATATATATATATTGTATATTAATATCTATACTTACAACTACATTGTATGCATAAACTTTGTACGTCGCTTAGACCTAGTAAACGTCGTATAATAAAAATACATACATATGTTTAAATATAAAAGCGAGAGTTCTGTTAAGGTCGTCATGTACAATCATTTGTTAATAATGTTCAATCAATTGGGCGAAGGAACGAAATCGCAATATTTACAATTATCCTTATTCATATAAGTAAAATAATTGTTTCTAGTTTTACTTTATTTTGCAATTGTATTGTAATTTGATATTACGGGAATTTCCCTAATTGCAAAACTCAAAAAACTATAAACACGCGGTTTCTCTTGTATTGCATTTCTAATTTATATATAACAAAAAAAAAACGATTGAATGCTAAAAACAATTTGCATTTATTCACGTAGCATCAATCGCATTAAATGTAAAAGCACTTATATTTTTTATTGTAATTCAAATAAGCAAAAAAAATGTAAATAAAACTTGAATGGTTCATACGATCAGACGAGATTATATATGTGTCTGAAAAATTTAAGACACACTGCCAAAGCTAGCTTGACACAGCTTAAGACTTTCCAATACCCTGCAATGGATGCAGATCATAAACAAATCGAATTATTTCAGCTGAAAGTGAAAATAACAATGGATTCTCAGTTAAGCTTAGGCAATTATTGAAGAGAATTGCGGATTCGTTCCTATTGCACCCAAATAATGTTGTATTTAAATAAACAAGCCCAAGTTTCATTTGTGGGCCTAGTGTAAATTTTTACTATTAATACTATAAGATTTTCTTTACAAAATAAATGTCAACAATAACAATTGCAGCAGCCGGTTTTAGCTTTGACTCTCTCACTATAAGGTTGGACCAATCCCCACCTAGTAGCTGATCTTCTTGCGCAGCTTTAGGTGCTGCTGTTGCTCGCGCTCTGTGGTCAGGCGACTGGCTCCACGCGGAGGATGTTGCTGCTGCCAGGGCAACGATGGTGGTTGCGTTGGTGTCGGTATCCCAGAATTGGAGGCTGATGTGGAGGCTGATGAGCCCGACTCAGCAAAGATTCGACGCGAAAGCCTAAAACTGCCGCCTCCAATGCTGGTTGTGGGTGTGCCGCTGTTACTATTATGTTTACTGCTGCTGCCGCTATTGTTGTTGTTATTGTTGTGGCTGTTAATGTTATTTTTACTCATTGTCGAAGCAGCGGCTGCAGCTGCCGCCGCCGCTGCTGCTGCCGCTGCGGCAGCGGCAACAACGCTTGTCTTTCGCAGCAACTTTGTGTTGTACTCGTCGCACTTGTCCTTCTCGATGCGTGTGGAGCTGAGCGAACGCTTGTTCCGCTTGTTGCTGACCAGGTTATTAAAATGATGCTCGTTGTTGATGGCACGCTGTTCGTCGCTAGCGGCACGTCCGTTGCCGCCATAGATGCCCATACTAAGCCGGCTTGTGTCTGGGGGAGGTGTAGAAGAATGCGAATTACTCAAATTGCAATTGTGATTGTTGTTCAAGTTGGGTATCTTTGACTTGGCAGCGCTAGACGCCTCAGTTGTAGTTGATGTTGTCTTTGCTGTTGTTGTGGTTGCAGCTGGCAGCGGATTGGAGTTAAGATCAAGCGCACCGGATGAGGTTCGTGTCGCTATATTGTAGCAAACGGCACCGGCACCGGCACCGGCACCTGCGCCGGAAGCACCACTACCGCAAGCATTGGCCAACGACGAGGACGACGACGAGGATACGGTGGGCATGGCAGAAACATCACGATAATAACGCGCCGTTGCCAGCGTGCACGGCTGTGCCGCTTGCTCGCCAGCCCCAACTGCTGCCCCGGGCCGTTGATAGCGAATGCGCGACCGACCTCTCAGCGTCATGTGATGCAGCGAGCTGCGTGTTACACTGCCTCGCACCGGCGGTATGGTCGCCGAGCTGCCAGCACCACCACCGCCAACACCGATGGGTATTTTACTCTCATTGATCGTTGCGTAGGGCTTCAATTGCTTATCGAGCACAGCGGCTATGGCGGTAGCGGGCTGTTGTTCTTGTTGCTGTTGTTGCTCCGCTTTGCGCAGATGCTTCAATTCCATTCTGTCAACGGAGGGAGGGGGAGCGAAAATGGTGAGCCCACAGCCAAGCACAAGAGACAAGAGAGAAAGATGTAAGAGTTGGAGTAGAGGGCACAGGGTAAGCTTAACAATTGCACAGGAACCAAAAACGAAAAAAAAAAAAACAAACTGCGAAAATGCAAGAGCAACAACATAAACATAATGGCCAAAAGGTATGTAAATAAACAAAAGAAGAGTATCGCAAGCACCCAAAAATTTTGAAATCGTTGTTTTTTTTTTTTATTTTTGTAATTTTGCATGCACAAACAAATTGTAAGACTAATTAATTGGAAAAATGTAAGTACATACTCAATAAACAATAAAAACAAAATAATTAGCTGCTAAAATTAGTGTTGTTAACGAATTTAAACGTTACTTTTTGCCGGCGCCAGCAAATCAACAGTTATCGATATCGATAGATATAGATATCGATAGCCGATATGCTCTCACGCCAGTGTTAAAAGTGTGCAAATACGGTTAGCGAGGGGGGAAAATTATAAATATGCTAAAACTATGTATACATATATAAATATATTGTGTACTTATAATATATACAAACTGGCAAAAGGTGTAAAGCGAACGAAGGACATCAAAAAAGGTGTACAAAATACTAATACACTAAACGAGAATACAAAATGCCGCAGCACAGTTCGAACTTGAAATCAAATCGTGTTCAATAATAAAATGTGGGTGTGTAGCGCTGTGTTGGAGGGGGGTAGGGCAATCTATTGTGGTGGGTGGGTGTATTGGACTGCACTTACCTCTTGCTGTAGATGGCCAGACTGCGTGTGCGACTGGCCGCATTGGTCTGCACATTGTTGTTGTTGTGGTTGTTGTTAGTGCTATTGTTGTTACAGTTATGCAAAGAGTTTAGATTATTGTAGTTATTGTTGTTAAGATTATGTGATGTTGTTGTTGCCGTCATCGTCGTTGTTGTTGTTGCTGCTGATGCATTGGCTGGCAAACAACTGCCGGCTTTAAGGCCCAATGACGCCGCGGACACATTAACCACATTGTTGTTGTTGCGAAATGGCTGGGAGCGGGCACGCGTATGTCGCTGATTCTGATCAGACTCGCTGCAGAAGCAAAAATTACAGGGTATTTGTGTTGAGTACAGCTATTATAAGAGTCAAATATATTAAAAGCCCACCTGTTGCTGTTCACAATACGCGAATGATGCCGACGCAGCGCCTTGATCTGATTGAGTTTGTCGCCCTGCGTTTGGGTCTGCTTCTTCTCCAGCGCCGTTTGCGTCATGCGCACCGAGGACGCAATCGTATGACGAGCCGCCTCAATCACATTGGAGCTGGGCTTGCGCAGTTTTTTCTCGGTGCAGCTGCTGCCGGGTGGATCGAGGCTATTGGACATGGCGCTGGTGTTGCTATTGCTGCGATTGTTACCGCCGCCGGGATTCACCAGACGACGCAGCGAGTTCGCTATTACCGTTGGCTTGTTGGCATTCGAGGGCGACTTGCGACGACGCGTTGAGATTGTGTAGGTGGAAGCGAGCGGGTGATCGGCTGCGGCACTGGCCGTGTCCGTATCATTATCGCTGCCATTGCAATTGGCCTCGTCCGTCGAGTGATAATGCAACTCCTGCAGTTCTAGCTGCTGCTCGGAAAGCTCCTCATCGGTTTGCTCACAGGCTGCATCCAATGTATCCTGATCATTCAAATGCATTGTGTCCACACGCTGTGAGATGCCCTTGACGCGAGTCAGCAGCAAATCAACATGGTCAAAGGGATCTGACGTTGCCAACGGCAGCGGCTTTTCTTCGAACATCTCAATCTTAGAGAACTTGTTCTTAAGCTCAATGCTGTAGATGCCATACTTGTGCTGCAGCATCGACAAGGAGTTGCGCCGGCGCATGCGTTCGCCCTCGGACCATAGCCAGCACTGTTTGCTGCAAAGATTGTAAAATAATTGCAATTATTAAAGGCTTTTCGGGATTATGGTTGCGTCAACGCCACTTACTCCTCCATCCACTGCTGCTGATGACCAATCACCGAGCCGGGTCGACACAAGCGCAGCCATGCGATGGCCTCTAGCGCACTGAAGCCATAATGCTTCATTATATAGGCACCAATCAGGCTGCCAGTGCGTCCCAAGCCCGCCTTACAATGCACCGCAATGGCGCCCTTTGTGGTCTCACATATGGACAGAAATTTCTTGAGAATGGCATCGCTGGGCGTGCTGCCATCGATAAAGAACAGATCCTTGTGATCGAAACCGGCATTCTCAAAGGATGAGGCATGGTAGACCTTCGCATTCAAACGGATCACAGTGGTCACATTGTTGTCCCTGAAGTAGCTAAAGTAACGCTCAGGCGCATGACATGGATAGCCGTTTGGCAACGTCTTCGACTTCTGATGCGGCCCACAGAATGCTATAAACTTTTGCGGTACTATCCAATTAAAATCCCCGTTCTCAACACGCTCAAAGTACTCGTACTCCTCCGCATCAAAGTCATTGAAGTTAAGGAAGCCCGCCTGCAGGCCCTTATGTATGGCATTGAGGCAGTCGAGCAGCGAGATCTTAAAGCTGCTGGGCCCATAGCTGGCATCACAGAAGCGCGTGTATGCAGGTACATCTCCAGTTGCGAGCAGTCTGTAGGCCTCTTCTGGAGTTTTATTCAGATAAATTATCTGAAATAAAGTGAATGTAAGATGTTAATACGCAAGCTATTTTCTGTATAATAATATTGTACAAATTCAACAATTTTTAATTTTCTTATACAATATCTCATTATATATATAATGTTAGTGCCTTGTTTATAGATGGATTGCCCTAGATTCTATTTGAGCCTGTCTTGTCTTACTCAGACTATATAACTCTCTTTCCAGTTGTTTGTATCTCATACATTCACTCCCAAAGTCTCTTTATACACCTTCACTTCGCTTGACTGATTCTTAACCCAATTTTAAACTTAAAGTAAGCTTACTATATTTCCTTTTTCATTATGCCCACCCAATTGCTAACACCTATTGCACATACAAGCCAAACCGTGTGGTATGGCCAAGAACAAGGTTTTAATTTCCGTCTTAACGAGGCGGTGCGAGTAAGATATCCAGCCAAGAAAGGTTACACTTACTGCATACGAACCAATCAGGTAGGCTGCATTGAGACGCTTCGCCGGATTCATGGAGGTGTAGTGCACGATTTTTTTGTTCGCGTGACTCTTGGCACTCAGTTTGGTGTTGAGCTTCATGCAATAGCGATACAGTATGCATATATTTAGCGGCCCGAAGTCGTTATAAAAGTTCTCATAGACATACTCATCGTCTATGCTAAAGTAATGGGTATTTGCCGTATTCTTTGGCTTGATGTTCTTTTTGAATACCACAAAGAATAGACGATCTGCAATAATGTGGAAGTCAGGTTAAAAGTTCACGGAAATGAAATCCAAAACTAGCACATACCTTCTTGCATCTCTGTGGCACAGACCAACAGATCCGAATTGTCGTCTTCCAACATTTTGAGTGTGTTTTAGCGACTGCAAAGACAATGAAAAGAGTTCTTAAAATGCAATGTAATCTCTGACATCCTCAGTTATCTTTGACAAACGAGATACGAGTCTAGTGAGAGCACCATTTTTAGACCCTGCTCGCAGCTCAGGTCTGCCCACGCGTAGTTCTCTCTACAATGCTTCCGCTTGATTCCATAATAAATAACAATTTTATTTTATTTTTTTTTTATTTCAGTCTTTTCATCTTTAGCCAATGAAATCGCCCACCCAACTGACTTTGCCTTAATTGGATAAAGTAAATGCTGCTTTCCGCAAAAGGTTTCTCGCATATAAATATAGTACATAGTACATATGATAGATAGTCGTAAACTGTATTGGAAAATAATAAACATGTTTTGTTCGATTTATATATATGTGAATTGGCCTCCTTGGCTGCCAAGAGGAGCACAATGTCTGCGACCATGCCGCATTTTCATTATTTGCCCCAGTTTTCCGTATAGGCGTGTTTGTGTGTGGATTATGCCTTTATTGATATGCATAAAAGGCACGTCAGACAGTCGTGTCCTGACATCCGCATCCTAATAAAAGCTACTAAAATAGCAGTGCAACGACTACTAAATACCCTGCTATCTAAAGCCTATTCAATGACTGTTTCGAAACTCTAATTTGTTTGACTTTTATAGATTTCCTTTGTAAACATTTTAAATCTATTTGAATCATAGGTTTGGTTGAGCAAGGCTTTTAAATTCTTATTTCCTGCTGCAACAGGATCTACAGAACTTTTTCGACATATTTATGCTAACTATAAGAACGTATAGATGGAAAAGTTAATTTAATTATAATTTAATTTAAAATATTGACTGAAGTGCTACGTATAATATGAATAAAGGCACACGAAGGATATATATGTTTGGTCCTCAAATAGGCTATGCCATATATTTAGGCATACTAGCATATAGGTATTCCTAGTATGGAACATATGGCTGGGGCGCAAGTTCTCGACACAGAGCTGGGTCAATAATAAAGTGCTTTCGTCGAGTCCTCCAACAAAGCTTGTGGGGATGATGTCGAGCTCTGTGAGCCCCCAAAGTTTATGATGTTGGCCTGCCATGTCAAGGAATGTGTGTCGTTTACACACTCACTCAAACACGCACACACGTAATACACACACGCACACACACACACATTACCAGCACATATATACTATTCGATTTTATGCAAATTCTTAACCTTTTGCTTAGCCAATCCAAAAAACAGTTGGCGTGCCGTTAGGGAATTTTCGTTAAAGGACCTACATTTCCTTTTCCGGATTTAAAGTTTAAAAGTCAAGCTAGCACAGGTTCTTAATGGCGGATCGGCATCATGTCAGAGCAGGCAGGTAAGGCGAAAGTAAAGCTAAAGATAGATTACAATCAAAGTGAGAAACTACGGACACAGTCGGGTTAATATACACATACATATATCTAGATATTACACATGTGTGGGTCTATATGAATTTACGAGTGCGAAATTTATGTGCTACGGATACAAATTAAAAAGAGTGACGTATCACTATTAAGGTGTGTTTCGCCTGAAGAAAGATAAACCGATTTCAAGAATAAGGTAATTGAAGAAATACAGAAGTCAGTCGAACTTTAACATTTTCACTTTTATTCCAATTTCAGTGGGTTGATTTCGATTCGTTTCAATTACGATCTTATCTTATGGATCTTATATTCGAGTTTCATAGAATTTCATAGAATGTAAAATTCATGTATTATATATATAAAATATATATTATATTGCCAACTGAACAGTGAAATGTAATTAAATACAGCTAAGTCTTATTAAACCCTAGTCTAACATCATACATCTACATACATTCATATATCATCATCACTAACACTGAACTTGCTGTTAAAGTGTTGGTAAATATAAAACTTCTAACGGGCATTTCAACCTTACACAAGTGTTTCCAATACGTAGTTTACTTTGGCGCAAAGGCTTGCTATGAAATTCCAGCGCGCCAAAACAAACATGCATATATACATAAGTATATACCAAGATATGTACATGAACATGTATGCATGTATGCGCACTGCACGTGACGAAAACAAATCATATCACCAAAAACAATCATACACACACACACACACATGCACATGTACCGCTTATCGGTGGCCGCAACGTGTAAGCGAACAGGGTCCAATTGCATTCGTTGGTTTTTTAGTTACATCTGAGCTGGGCGCAGAGCGTTTGTAAAACAATAGGTATTAGAAACAACTTTTTAAAAATAGAACTGCCATATGACGTCATCAACTCGCAACAATAGCAAAGCACAACAACAAAACAAAAGCCACTCTCTGTTGTCAACGTAAAATGAATGGCGATGTTCGACTGCGGCGATTCACAGTTAGTTGTCAGTTTTTTTTTAAATGAACGTCGAGGCCGAAGCAGAGATTTTTGCCGCGCGCATAGCACACACACTCACAGACAAAACAGAAAGCAATACACTACTACAACAGCAATAGCAACAGCTTCTCCAACTGCTCCACGCTCCACACTCCTCCCACAGTGTTTGCTGTTGCCCTGTACTGCGCATGGCTTACGTTCGCTCTCTTGCTCAAAAGCTGATGAGCTCCCGCTCTCTTTCATTTACACTTGTTCATTTGTCCCGCGTGTGTGTGTGTGTGTTTGGTGTTGTATTAATAAAAGCAACCAACGCATTTTTTCAAATCCAACAAAATGAAACTAAAACGCGAAATAACGAAGAAGAAGCACACGTCGCACTCTATGTTATGTGTACTGCGTAATCAATTTTTGGGGGTATACTCGTACTGGGAGAGCCGTCCGCTGGACTATTTTTATGGTATTAACGTGGTGGGGGCTGTAACAGTTGCATAGTTGGCAGGCAGGTAAGTATGTGGCTGCGGACTCACCTAAATATTTATGGGTGTTTGTGTATAGATATGCACAACGGGATGGGGCAGCAGCAGCAGTAGCCGTAACCACACCATGAAACTAGAAATTTAGCTGTGACAAAAAATGGACTCTGCATAACACCACACAATTGTTTATAAACTTATTTTTTTTCTGTGTTTGCGGGGGGGTTATAACAAATTTTGATGACAAATGTAACACATAAAATTTTGTTGATTACAGCCCAAATAACAACATTTTCAGTGTGAGTTTTATTTTTCAATTGGCTCCTGTATCGTTTGGAATTCGTTATATGTTTTCATAAATCGTAACGACCTGACGGAGGTAAACACTCAAGCTCGCGTGCGATCGACTGCTCGGTAGGAGCTCCAAATGTGAACTGGCAACTCGTTGCGGCGTTGGCGCTTTTTCCGTTGCATTTTGTGCTCTCCTTCGTTTTGTGTTTGTATGAGAGCTGTCTATCCCCCGAGCGTCCTTAAAAACCATGTTGGCGCAATTAAGTTAACCAATACTAAGATAACCGTTTTTATTACTCGCTCGCTCTCTCTTTCTGCCGCTCACACTCACTCTCTGCGTATGCAGGGCTGCGAAAATACTAAAATCGCGTTGCCAACACACAGAATTGCCAACGATGTGCTTAGTGTGACAGTTAAATTTAAATATAGGGACACATTAAATAAATGGTTTTGCCAGAATGAAATTGATTTTAGAAAATTAGCTTTTCCAATAAAATAGATAAGAAATATTATTATTATTAGTGTTATTAATGGTTGTTAATAAGACAATAAAAATAAAACAACACTTAAATCTTGCATAAGCCACAAAACTCTTTTCTTACTCACTTGTGTTCGTGAAAACATATTCTCTTTCCAAACTCATTCTCATTTTGTGTGTTCGTGTCTTCTCTAGTTCGAGTTGGATTGAGTTGCGTGTGAGCATAAGTACTTGATGTTTTCTTATGTTGTGCCAACTGATCGTAGCGTGTAGGGGCCATTTCTCACAACCATCCGATTATTGTTGCCTGCCTTGTTTGACAGGACGCTTTGAGCAAGGTGTAAAGTAGCAAAAAAAAAATTAATACTCTATATATTTGATGGTAGGTAGTTATTTATTTTTTCAAAATTCCCACACAAACATTTTAAAACGAAAATTGTGGTTTTTTTTTTTTTTTTTTTTTTTTTTTTATGGTTTAAGTTACTTTTATTTTTGCTAATTTTCTGTTACTTTTCACTTTTAGCAACTTTTATCAGCGTGAGTGAAAATTGTGGTAACATTCGATTATAAATATCCTCAAATGCGATCGCAGCTCAGCAGGTACAACCGATTGTAGAGTGTATGGGCTACTTTATGACTTCATCTTCCGACTCTCTTATACTTGCGATCGCTCTTGAGCTCTCGCTTAAAGTATCTCAAATACATTTCTCGTGCCGCACAACAAACCGTTTGCTCAGTAACGAGTGTGGATCTTTGGCGAACGGACGGGTTTTTCGGCAGTCCCGGTTTTTCAGTCGCCGTCCTCTGATTGTCTTGGGAAAATATCTTCTGTGTTTGTGTCTGTATATGTATGTGTGTTTGTGCTCCCTTTAAGTTTAAAAAAAGAAGTCGAAAAGTGTTTGCTGTGACTGCAACAGCAACAAAAACAACAACAACTGAGCAGTGTTGCATGTTTGTTGTTTTTTGTGTATAACAGAAAATGTTAAATTAAAACTGCAAGGAGTAGGAGTGGGAGTTGTTGCACGCCGCGGTAAGAAAATAACCAACTCAAATTGTTCTCAACAATTTAGCTTTAACCTCAACTTATACTTTTAACTTATAATAAAAAGAAGTTATACGCAGTTTATGCTACGCAGCTGTTGTTGTTGTTGTTGTTGTCGTTGCCTGCGTTTATCTGTTTTGCTCCGTTTGTTGTTACTTCTTCTGCTTCGCCTTCTACTTCTCTGCATCCGCTGTTACTCTCGCTGTTGTTGTTTTTACTGCAAGACTTATCGCTAGCTGGGATTTTTACTAAAACAAAAAAAAATGTATGTATTTCATTTTGTCACAGCAAAAGTTTACATTGTAAAGCACATGAATTCTTTCGGATTATATGCGACTTGTAACATGATGCCTCATACCCAAATCCATTTGAGAATGTCTTGCCTTGCATATGCATACATATGCTCCGCGCATGCATAGCTGCGAGGGCAGTTCAAGACGTTTGCGTTTATTGACTGACTGCTTAACGGTCTGTTAATTTCATGTATGGAAAAATGTTCGTTTTGTTTTAAACCATTTATTGAATAAAATTTTCAAGTTTTTAAAAATGTTTGCTAGTTGCTTGACGATTTCTGTTTTATTTTTAAGTATTAAACAGAAATGGAAAATTCAATATTTATTTATTTTTATTGCATTCTTTTATATATTTCCTTTTTACAATATTTTAAAAGAAATTGTCAATATTTTATAACAATCAATCAGTTAACAGCGCACATAATTAGTTTTCTATATGCATGATAATTTTAGGACTACCAATTTTTTTTATCTTTTGTAGTAAAGAATTTTGAAAATAAGCCTTTTAAATAAACGAACTTTATTTTGATTCACACAATTTATAGAAGAAAATAAGAAAATAAATAAAAAACGAAATTAATATAAACCAAATTAAGAAGCAGAAAATGCTTTATACTACCAATTAAACAACCCTCGCTCATGAATATATATATATATATATATATATATATGCATGCGTGTGTGTGTTAATTAGGTGTGAGTGCACTAGGCAAGGAATAGTGCATTAAAAAGCTAAGTAAATTGTTATTTCAACGAGGCTACCAATTAAAATATGAGCCAAGGCTTGGATCTGACAGATCTGCATCCGCAAGATACAGTATATATAGTATCTCTGTGCGCCACAATGTGGGCAGGACTTAGTTCAGGCCTAATAATAGTTTTGATGCCGCATGCTGATCTCATTTGATTTGTGCAGAGGGAGGGGGGCGGGGTTGAGCACACACATGTTCTCCATAAGTGAAAACAGTTCCAGCTGAGGATGTGTGGTCAATAAGCAGCGCGCTCTGATGGAATTGAAAATATAAACATGGCAAAGCTATGAAAACATGCACAAGAGCAATTTTTACGAACCCGTCGTCAAACAACTATATATATGTATATATATATCTATATATGCATATATCCGCGTGTATTATAAGATATCTGTGTACATAGCACAGACAAGCATCAGAATGAAGTCGCAATCGAGAATCGCTTCGTTTTGAGACTCTTTAAATTATTCGTGCAACGGGCGTATTAGGTTGTATTCAATTCCACGAAAAACTGAACAAAATACAAAATTAGTTTTTTTTTTTTCTCATATCAGCAACTTTTCTTTTTATTTTTTATGGTAACTTTTGTTTCTCGTTTTAAATTTGAGAAAACATATATTGAAAAAGGGGAATCCCAAATTTTCCTAGGTTTCTAGTTTAATGGATGCAGACATAAGTCAATTGTAGTTAATATACATAAAAAATATTTTCTTGAATATTTCTCCTTATAAAACCATTTTACAAAATGATCAAAAGTAGCTTAATTCTCTGATTGTTTATGTTTAATGGAAAATCTGTCGCTTTGTTTTCATACATGACTTTTTAACACTATTTTCTTATATTCCAGCACAGGGTATTTGAAATTCCAGCATTTCTTTTGCTATATACTCTTTTATTTACCCAATACCAATTCATAAACAAACACAAACACCAGCCACAGAGTGTATCTCTGTGCTCCACTGTGTCTGTCTGTGTGTTTGGTAAATTAACTTTTTGTTTAGTTCCTTGATTATTTGTTTATTTGCCAGTCTGCCGTTTGCCTTTTTGTGCTTTTTGCTGGGCCCCAAACGAAACTGAATTTAACAGCAGAAAACAAAAAAAAAAACATAAAATAAAAGAATCTACATCAATTACAGCAAGCGAAAGGAACAGTTATCTTGCTTGATCAAATACCCTATAGATATATATACTAAAGTCTGATAACACCTTACATAATACAATGCAGGGTTCTTTTCTTTTATATATTAGTTAATGATAATATTATAATAATGATAATAAGTATAAACAAAGTTCAGCCGACAGGCAAACTAAAGCTCTACGCTTATATTAATGTACTATTACTCGTGATTTAGAATAGGAATCAGATGCGAATTAAATCAAAGGAATTTCCGGAATCTATGTATATTTTAATAACAGATGATGATAATGTACTATTATCCTGATTTTAGAATTCAAAATGAATCAAAGGAAAATCTAAAGTTCATATTTTATCACCAGATATAGCTGCCCCACAGCTCCCGCTAGCAGAGTTCTCAAAATGTAGGATCTCAGTTCAAATCCTAATGAGTATTAGTGTGCTTCCTCATTCCTTTTGTCCTGACTAAACGTCCTGATCGTGCATGGCTTAGACGTTTAAGACAACAAAAGAAAGATCGCTGGTTCAAATTCAGCAGAAAATTTCAAGTATTATATATGTTAATTTAATTAGTTTGAAGCCATTTGAGAGGCTTTCAATTTGACTCAAATGAGCACTTGTACTATTGATTCGAACCGGACAACGCCGGTTAATTTCCTATAGTATTTAATAACAAGTTTATATCAATGTGTTACACATTTAATACATAAGGATGTAACTCTTTATGAGTGAATAAAAACCGTCAATGCTCTACAGCTCAACACACACACGCACACACGCACACACACACACACACACACACACACACACACACACGCACACACACAAACACCCATACACATACGTAGAGTTATGTACACATAAATAAACATGTACGCACGCATGTGGCACATACAAAGTCGTATAGTCTGTGAATGAACTCTTATCGGGCCATGTCGGGCTCGAAATTACAAAAAAGTTGTGAAGCCTCCTTCCCAGTGAGGCGGGATAGCGTTGCGTTGGGGCGATTTCATCCCAATTCCAATCAATGACCACATCTGAGGCACCAATTTTTCGACTTGTGCCGCCAGAAGCTGCTTATCTCCGGCTGCTGCGGCCGGGTCTCTAGCACAATTTTCATTTTACTTAGTTGCGTGTCCAATGGAACTGGGCTGATAAGAACATAGACCCAGATTTAATATTCAGAGACCGAAACCGTGTAATCAAGCAAATAAAATCAAGTTAAATACCCTGGGAATTTTGGTAAATATAATGAGGAAAATAATAATAACAATGAATAGATAGAATAAGAATAAAAATCAAATAGAACAATAGAAATAGATTCAAATTGAAACAAGCAATATTCAAAAGTCAAATAACTTTTCAAAGATTCCTTAACTTAATAAGACTTCACACAAAATTTAAGTTGTAGACAAATACCCTATTCTTTTTATTCAGCTGTGTTTAATAGCATTTCATTTGAGGTTTACGATATTCCTATAACTTTGTTTTGATTATATTCTAAAAATGCCAACTTAAACCAATCCAAAACTAGTTGAATATCTGACAGATATGCTATCTTTCAAAAGGAAATATATCATTATTAGGGAATTAGCCGACCGAGTTTATGAAAGTTGTTATATATTCAATTAATCTTATTTATTATTGATAATATTAAAATATTTGCGATTATTTGCATGAAATATATATGTTCAATTATTGCTTATAATATTACAAAATCTCAGCTGGATATATTTCTGTTAACCTAACATCCGCTTAGACTACAAAATTAACAATTGTCAGCTATATATAGAAATTATATTTTGTTATTTTATTATTTATTTTTGCTTTTCACTCAGTTTCCGCGCTTGGAGGTGGATATGTGAGGTCGTTCATACTTTTTCCTTCACAAATGTGATATTAACTTGATTTTCACTAATTTTCCATGCTTGAAGGTGAATAATGAGCTCGTTAGGACACTTCTTTACTCAAAGAATCGTCGAACAGATGTCTACACGTTGTTAAAATTCAATCAAAACAAATCCCAAATGACTTTTTGCTTAAAGAAATAGATAGATATGTTATTGAAGAAAAATCCTAGACGGATGAGCTCATGGGCATGATATATACATAGTTTATAGTGTAGACCCCTTTAAGAAGCACACAACTCTTTTTCATGTTGTTTTTATGTGACACTAGAGGCGGAGCTGTGTCTAAAAATAATCATCTTTGCTGAGCATTTAGTACAAGTCTTAAAGCTGATAAACAACGCACCAGGCAACAACGGATTCCACTTTGTATATACTTGTACATTTGCTTGTTTATCGCCCTCTAAAGTCGAACTTATGTATGCTCAGATTCATTCACATTTAGCTCGAAGAAGGCTTTGGGTGGCGCTCAGTTCATGCGTAAAAGTCGTTGGGTACGGACGTTTTAATTTCGGGAGCATCCATGTAGGAATCGAAGCCATAAATTACTTATTGGGGCTATTGGAACTGTTGATAAGACGGCGCCAAAATGCTGGAGATGCGTCTGAAATAAGAAAAAAAAGAATATTTCTAATTCCATTTAATGTTATTCCATTGCAGTGCCCCAGATAAGCCGCAGCTAGATCAGGCGCAACATGACAGCCCAGCGGGCATAAGGTGAAAGGAACTAAAGGCAGCGTAAGTAGGAATAGGACTCCAAAGAAGATCCTCATCTAAAGTCTAACCAACTCTTTCAGTCCATTCACGTGGCCAGCGAAAAGTCCGCATTTTGTAAAGGAAATCGAACGAGAGCTGATTATAAAACGGAGCCGGAAGCGCTCTAGTGGAACACGACCTCAACGGCCCGAGCGACAGACAGCGAGCGAGCGAGTGAGCCAGAGACCCCAAAAGTGAGAGAGAGTGCGAGAGAGATAGAGAGTGGGAGATATAGAGCGGCAGAGAGTGAGAGCGAGATGTCGCCTCGCCGCGGCCTTATCGCGCTTTTCTTTGTGCTCGCCGTGCTCTGCGCCCAGCTGGCGGAGGCACAGCGTACGCCACAGGCGCAGCACGGACGTCGCGATCGTCCGCGCAATCCACCACGGCAATACATTAAGACGCATCCGTGTGAGCGTTCATCATGTTATCCGGCAACGGGTAATTTGTTGATTGGACGCGAGAATCGCCTGACGGCCAGCTCCACGTGCGGCCTTCGCTCGCCGGAGAGATTCTGCATCTTGTCGCATCTGGAGGATAAGAAATGTTTTCTGTGCGATTCGCGCGACGAGACACGCAACGATCCGTACAAGAATCATCGCATCGGACAGATCATCTACAAGACCAAGCCGGGCACCAATATACCCACCTGGTGGCAGTCGGAGAACGGCAAAGAGAATGTCACCCTGCAACTGGACCTGGAGGCGGAATTTCATTTCACGCATTTGATCATCACATTCACCACCTTCCGGCCGGCGGCCATGTACATTGAGCGCAGCTTTGACTTCGGCGAAACGTGGCATGTGTATCGCTATTTTGCCTACGACTGCGCCGAATCCTTCCCGGGCGTGCCCACTGCGCTGCATAATATCACCGATGTGATGTGCACGTCGCGCTACTCGTATGTGGAGCCATCGCGCAACGGTGAGGTCATCTTCCGTGTGCTGCCGCCGAACATCAATGTGACAGATCCGTATGCGGAGCACGTGCAAAACCAGCTGAAGATGACCAATTTGCGCATCAAAATGATCAAGCTGCATAAGCTGGGCGACAATCTGTTGGACAATCGTCTGGAGAACGAGGAGAAGTATTATTATGGCATCTCGAATATGGTTGTGCGCGGTTCCTGCTCCTGCTACGGCCATGCCTCGCAGTGCTTGCCCCTGGACGATGTCGCCACGCAGGATTACGAGATGGTGCATGGACGTTGCGAGTGCACACACAATACGAAGGGCCTGAACTGCGAGACCTGCGAGGACTTCTACAACGATCTGCCCTGGAAGCCGGCCTTTGGCAAGCAAACGAACGCGTGCAAGAAATGCGAATGCAATGGACATGCCGTCAGCTGTCACTTCGATGAGGCTGTGTTTGTGGCGTCGGGTCATGTCTCGGGCGGATTTTGTGACAATTGTCTGCACAATACGCAGGGTCAGCATTGTGAGGAGTGCATGGCCTTCTTCTATCGCGATCCCGCCGAGCAGCTAAGCAGCCCGAATGTGTGCAAGCCCTGCGATTGTGATCCCGATGGCGCTTTGGACGAGGGCATTTGTGATTCGGTTAATGATCCAGAGAATGGCATCGAGGCGGGCGCTTGTCACTGCAAGCCGAATGTCAAGGGTCGCCGTTGCGACAGATGCAAGGATGGCTACTGGAATCTGGATCCAAACAATCCCGTAGGCTGTGAGGCCTGCACCTGCAATACGCTCGGCACTGTCAACAATTCCGGCTGTAATATGCGCACCGGCGAGTGCCAATGCAAGCGCTTGGTCACCGGCAAGGATTGCAATCAATGCCAGCCGGAAACGTTTGGTCTCTCCGAATCCGAGGACGGGTGTACGCTCTGCAATTGCGATGTGGGCGGCTCCTATGACAACTATTGCGATGTGCTGACGGGTCAGTGTCGCTGCCGCTCCCACATGACCGGACGCACCTGCTCGCAGCCAAAGCAAAACTATTATATACCCGATCTGCACGTGGTGCACGAGGCCGAGGTGGCCGACATGTGCATCTCATATGGCAGCAATGGCAACTGCAGCACTGTGCCACAGGCGCCACCCACCAACCAGGATCCACATGCACCCGAACATACGGGCATTGGTTTTACGCGCGTGCCGGAGAACTCCGAGCTGGTCATCACCGTCGACAATATACCGCGCTCCATGCCCTACGATGTGCTCATACGCTATCAGTCCACATCGCGCAACGACTGGGAGGATGCCTACATAACGCTGGTGCGTCCCGACGAGATCGATCCGCAGGGCGAGTGCGCCCAGGCCGTGCAATCCCCCATAACCGAGGCGCGTGTGCCATTCTCGTTGCCCGAACGCGATCGCCAGGTGGTGGCCCTGCACGACGTCTGCCTGGAGGCGGGCAAGGTGTACAAGTTCCGCATTTTGTTCGAGCATAGACGCCGCAACGAGGACAATCCAACGGCGACCATACTGGTCGACTCGCTTACACTGATACCACGCATTGACGTGACGCCCATATTCCAGGGCTCGCCCGTGGCCGATCTGCGCCTGCGCGAATACATCAACATGAACTGCAATCAATCTCTGTACGATATGCGCTACAAGGAGCACACGGCCGCCATTTGCCGCGAGCTGGAGCAGGATGTGAGCAAGTACATCTTCGATGGCGCCAGCATGTGCAACTGCAATCCCACCGGTTCGCTGAGCAAGGTGTGCGACCCCAACGGCGGCTTCTGTCAATGCAAGCCGAATGTTGTGGGCCGCCAGTGCGATCAGTGTGCGCCGGGCACCTATGGCTTCGGGCCGGAGGGCTGCAAGGCCTGCGACTGCAACAGCATTGGCAGCAAGGACAACAACTGCGACCTGCTGACGGGTCAGTGCGCTTGCCATCCGAACACCTACGGCCGGGAGTGCAATCAGTGTCAGCCGGGCTATTGGAATTTCCCCACGTGCCGCAGCTGCGAGTGCAATGGACACGCCGCGCTCTGTGACCCGCTGACCGGACAGTGCCTTAACTGCCAGGACTCTACGACTGGCTTTGGCTGCGACTCCTGCCTGGATGGCTACTATGGCGATCCGCTGCTGGGCAGCGAAATTGGCTGTCGCGCCTGTCGCTGTCCGGACACCATAGCGAGCGGCATGTCGCATGCCGAAGGCTGTTCCTTGGACACGCGCAACAACAATATGCTCTGCCACTGCCAGGAGGGCTATTCGGGCGCACGCTGTGAGATCTGCGCGGACAATTACTTCGGTTCACCCGAATCGGGTGGCAGCTGCTCGAAGTGCGATTGCAGCAACAATATTGACATCTACGATACGGGCAACTGTGACCGCCAGACGGGCGCCTGTGTCAAGTGCTTGTACGATACCACGGGCGATCACTGCGAGCTCTGCCGCGATGGCTACCACGGCGATGCACTGCAGCAGAACTGCCGGCAGTGCGAGTGCGATTTCCTGGGCACCAACAAGACGCTGGCCCACTGCGATCGCTTTACCGGCCAGTGTCCCTGTCTGCCCAATGTCCAGGGCCTGCTGTGCAACCAGTGTGCTCTGAACCACTGGAAGATCGGCTCCGGTGAGGGCTGTGAGGCCTGCAATTGCGATGCCATCGGCGCCGTGCAGGAACAGTGTCACACGTTTACCGGCCAGTGCGAGTGCAAGCCGGGCTTTGGTGGACGTGCCTGCAATCAGTGCCAGGAGCACTACTGGGGCAATCCCAACGAGAAGTGCCAGCCCTGTGAATGCGATCAGTTCGGCGCCGCCGACTTCCAGTGCGATCGGGAGACGGGTCAGTGTGTTTGCCACGAGGGCATCGGTGGCTACAAGTGCAACGAATGCGCACGCGGCTATCTCGGCCAGTTCCCGCACTGTGCACCATGCGGTGAATGCTTCAACAACTGGGATCTTATACTGAATGCCTTGGATGAGTCCACGCAAGCAACGATACTGCGCGCCAAGGAGATCAAGCAGGTGGGCGCAACGGGCGCCTACACGGCCGAGTTCAGTGAGCTGGACAAGAAGCTGCAGCACATCAGGGACTTGCTGCAGAACACCTCGGTCAGTCTGCAGGATATGGATCAGTTCGATGCCGCTGCCAATGAGCTGAAGCAGCAGCTGGGCGCCTCGCATCAGCGACTGAGCGAAACGGAACTCAATCTAGATGAAATTTATAACTCACTCAGTTTGTCCGCCGTGGAGCTGGAGGGCCTGCAGAATCATTCGCGTCTCGTGCAGCAGCTATCGCGTGAGCTCAAGGAGAACGGCATACAGCTGCAGGAGTCCAATATCGAGGGCGCACTCAACCTAACCCGACACGCCTTCGAGCGTGTCAGCAGCTTGTCCGCGCTCAAGGATGAGGCCAAGGAACTGGCCTCCAATACGGATCGCAACTGCAAGCGCGTCGAGACGCTCTCCAACAAGATTAAAGACGAGACAGATGCCATTGCCAACAACGACATGACCATAGCCGAATATCGCGCAGAGCTGAGCGGCTTGACCTCGCAAATTCCCGAGCTGAACAATCAGGTGTGCGGCAAACCAGGTGATCCCTGTGACAATCTCTGTGGCGGCGCTGGCTGTGGCAAATGCGGCGGCTTCCTATCCTGTGAGCATGGTGCGCGCGCACACTCGGAGGAGGCCCTCAAGGTGGCCAAGGATACGGAGCTGGCGATTACCAGCAAAAAGGACGAAGCGGATCAGACCATACGCGCTCTCACCCAGGCCAAATTCAATGCCTCGGAGGCGTATCAGAAGGCCAAGGTTGGCTTTGAACAGTCGGAGCGTTATTTGAACCAGACGGACGCGGCCATCAAGCTGGCCGAGCTGCTGATCAGTGCGGTCATGGATTTCCGGCAGAATAAGACCGCGCTGCCCGGCGAGAGCAAGCAGCTGGCACAGGACACGCTGCGTCTGGACCTCACACTCGATCCCAAACAGATCGAGACACTGGGCGTAAAGATCAACGACGCCGTCTCCTCGCTCAATAACGTCGAATCGATTATATACAAGACACGACCCGATTTGGAGCGCGTTAACAGCTTGCAGAGCCTGGCAAATAGCACCAAGGCGACGGCCAATACGATACTTGAGCAGGCCAATTTAGTGGTCCAGAATCTGGCATCGGCGAGCGAATCACAGAGCAAGGCACAAGATGCCATAAAGCAAGCGAACAGCAACATCGAGCTGGCCGACAGGGATCTGGAGCAAATCGATCTGGAGACCAAGGAGGCCGAATCGCCGGCCAATGTCACCGCACAGCAGGTGGTGGAGTTGGCCCGCAAGGTGCAGCGATTGGAGAAGAACATCCTAAAGAACGAACTCGCCGCCAAGGAGATCACCAAGGAGGCGAATCGCGTCAAACTGGAGGCGCTGCGTGCACGTGGCGATGCCAGCAATCTGCAATCCTCCACAGGCGCCACCAACCAAACGCTCACGGATCGCGCCAGCCGCTCGGAGAATGCGCGAGAGCGCGCCAAGCTCCTGTTGCAGCGCGCCTCCAAGCTGACGGTGGACACCAACGCCAAGCTCAACGAACTCAATCTGCTGCAGGAAACCTATATCGAGAAGAACGAAAAGCTGGCCAAGCTGGAGAGATCCATACAGCCGCTCAACGATGAGCTCGACATTTATCTGCGCAACATTCAGGAAAATGCCGATCGCTATCGACAGTGCACAGTTTAGAGAGGTGGGTGTACGCGTGTGTGTGGGTGTGTGTTGGTTCGCTAAGTAAAAAAAAAAACGAAAAAACCCCGACTATGCAATACTCTGCTCGCAGAACAGCTTCAAAGGAAGATTTTTCCCGTTTATGGAATTAAATAGGTTTAGCTAGCATTCAAGACATTCGTTTTAATACAGGGAATTCAAAACAGTGGGAAATAACAACTATACAATACCCTGCAGTGTAAAACAGGGAAGAAACTTTCTGTTGGGAAAAATGATAAAGTGGTTACCTTCTAAGACAGTCACTCTCAAACTGTGATTATAAAACTGTAAGAGATAGATTTTTGTGATTTGCAAGGGTTGTTCGATTCATGAAGAACTGTAGCCTAACTGGGACTTAACAATTGAAGTATATTAGAGTTTTGCAATGTTCGTGGGTGAATGTGGGCATGTTTTTAGGGACATTTGGTACTCTGTTTATAATCAATGCTGGTCTACAGAAGCATATATTCAACAGGAACTATCTTGACCAACACAGACACAAAAACAATATAGCCATTTGAGCCTTAGGAAGAGAGTACGAAAAAAAAACGTAAAGCCAGCTTGTCCAGCAAAAAGCCCAAAAGTATCTATGAAAAGCTGTGCTTCTAGGATTGCATATATGTATAGATCACAAATATATCTATATAATTTTCCAACTATATACAACTTTTATTGCAGTTGCAAGCCCAGCGGCCAGATCCACCCATTGCCATATTTGATGAACAAATGCGTAAAGCAGCAGCAGCAGCAACGAGAAGCGAAGGCACAGTTATTTCTATTTAACGCCGTTAAGTGTAACCGTTACGTTTTGTACTATAAGCAATCAAATGTTAAATGCAATATTCATTTCAAATTTATGCCATTTTAATTGAGCTAAGTTTTTTTTAAAACAATACAATATTTTGTAATGCAACGAAACTAAATGAAAACTACAATAAATATAATTAAAATACATACTACTTAAATAATAAAGAGACCAGTTTTATTTCCCCATTCACGACAGGGAAATTGTCAAAAGAGTACAAATACCTTTAAATTTGATTTTTACAGTTGGTGGAAAGGAATCATAAGAGCAAAAATACCTTCAAAAATTGTTTTTATTATAATTATATTATTTTGTGCATTAAGCAATCTATCTATCTATATATACACACATACATATATTTGTTTATTGCGCGCCATGGCAAAGCATAATAAACAATACTAGATACCAAACTGATGCCAGTTGGCGGTTTGTCTTTCCGTTTTGTTGCAATTCTTCTCCGCATCGAATGCAGTTCTTGTTTTGATTGTTCATTTCATAAGTTGCACAAAAACTATAAGGTTTTGGTATTTTTTCATGGTGAAAATTATTAATAAATAATTTATTGAACTCTCATAGTGAACTTTTTAAAAATGTCGAAAAACGTATTAAACTCTTAATATGGATAGAATGTATTCGGGGAGAAGCCCTGCAGGTATAAAACAATTGCATTTAAATACTTTTAAATAAATACTCTGAGACGAAAACCCACTGAAACCCTGTAAAAAAAATAAGAAGTACAAAATAAAGCTGTAAAATAAACTTCATTAAAAACACAAATCACATACTTTAATTTAAAAACAGGGTATAAGTATAGCAGTGCTGTAAAAGATTGATTATATTCCACATGGTCACATTACATTACGATTTACAGACTATCGATATTGTTACCAACTTTAAATTACACGGTCCAAAAATGTATTACACTTTTTTTGTATAACTAGAAGAAGAACTTCATAATTCGTCTACGAGATTATTTTTAAATGCATGACCAAAAATGTTATATATGAAGAAATGAGGGAATGCAGTTTTCATTGATATGAGGTATTGATGGTGTTGACGATAAGAAATTTTCCAATCGATACTATCGATATCATTGATGGCAACTCTGGTATTTAAAACCACACACATTTTAAGCACATATGCGACGTGCGTACAGTAGCTATTCCCTATAAGGCATCAATAAAGTTTAGTATTTATATACATTACAAGAAACTAACAAGTACACAAGGAACTAACATTCATTAAAATGAAGCAGAGAAGAAAAACAGAAATAAAATTAAAGCAAACGGAACAAGCTTGTTGGAAATTTTAGTATCATATATTTTTGAAGAACACACTTGGGGGCTGACTGAATAGTACTCCCATTGAAGCTGTACTGTGGCAATACGTATGTAGGTGCGTGTATATTTACGCAGAGGCACGCACACACACACACACACGAACACAGACGGATGTTGTTCTTGTTTTTGTTTTATGCAAGCAACAGAGGCTATTAATAAGAACATTCTGAAATAATATAATGCTAGAAAAAGTCGGCCGAATCTGTTGCTGTGCATTAATACGTCAAAAATGAGAACGACACAAAGCAAAAGTCGTCAATAAGGGAAAAACAAGTGAAGGAAAGCAAAAGTGCGGACGCAAACAGTGCGCAAATAAATAAATAAATCGAAATTTCGATTTTGAATCAAGTGTTTCTGGCCCCCGAATTATTATAAAATACGCATAGTCCATATAGAAGCGCGCACATCCAATTGTTACATACACAACATATAGCACAAAAAGGAGAAAAATAGCCGAATCTTGGGCATTTCAAATAACACCCCATCAATGGATGACGAATTGGAAGACAAGATCTTCTATCAGACATACGTTTCGCATATGAAAATTCTATCCAAGTTCGCAGTGGGCTTCTCGTCCATCAATTCGCCCTTGGCATATCTATGGAAACTATGTCGTCTCTATGTGCTCCGGCCGGAGGTCATCTTCTGTGGCATCATTTTATTTGTCTTGTTGATCTATTTGCAAGCGGTAGATGTCTGGAGTCGCAGCATATTGGGACGCATCCAGGCCACGCTGGGGCGACAGAAGGCGCCACGTGCCATCGACATGACGGGCGGCGCCGGCGATCACCAGAGCTGGGAGGAGGTGCGACAACAAAGTGCCGCCTTCGCTGTGCTAGGACGCCGACCGCACATGGAGGACAGGTGAGTGTGTGCCCTAATCAAGCTGTGCTTGATATTAAGTTGAACTCATCTCATGCGCAGATTTATCATTGAGGAGAACATCAACAACAACACGGACATTTCGTTCTTTGCCGTTTTCGATGGACATGGCGGCGAGTTTGCCGCCAACTTTGCCAGAGATGTCTTGGTCAAGAACATCTACAACAAGATAATAGAGATTAACAAGCTCCTAAAGAGCGAGACCTTAACCGAGTACACTGGCTACGATAAGAGCCCGTATCTGGCGCGCAAACAGAGCCGTAAAGATGTGTCCAACAAGGAGAACGCTGAGCCCGCCGTCGCACGCCGGGACAGTTTGCGCAAGGCGAACAGCTTGACAGCCGATTGCAGCGCAATTAAACAAAAGACAACGGAGGCAACTGTGGCCGACATCTACACAGCGCAGCTAAACAGCGCGATGCGCGCCAGCGGCAACAGCAACAGCGCGGCCAAAGATGCATTTCTCAATAACAACAATAATGCGCAGAACTCCGGCAATGCGCCGCCGCCCAGCTACGACGCCAAATGCTATATCGAAAATGGACGCATCAATTTTGGCAAGCTCATCACAGACGAGATAATGTCAGCCGATCACAAGCTGGTCGAGCAGGCCAAGCTTGCAGTGAGTATAACATATGTGCCCCGAAACTGCTGCCAAAATTATCCTTACTTGCACTTTGCAGACGAACATAGCCGGCACCACAGCATTGATTGCGATTGTGAAGGACAGCAAACTGATTGTGGCCAATGTGGGTGATTCCCGTGGCGTTATGTTTGATGCACGCGGCATTGCCATACCATTGTCCTTTGATCATAAGCCGCAGCAGGTGCGGGAACGCAAACGCATACACGATGCTGGCGGCTTTATTGCCTTTCGCGGCGTTTGGCGCGTGGCTGGGGTCTTGGCCACGTCACGAGCGCTGGGTGATTATCCCCTTAAAGATAAGGTAAGCCGTTCGCCATATACTGATGGCGTGACGGGAAATTTTCACGTCACATCTTTAATATATACATAGAATACTAATGCTAATCGGCCTACACGTTTTACTACCCATACACAGAATCTAGTCATAGCTACACCGGACATTTTGACCTTCGAGCTAAATGATCACAAGTGAGTACAGCTGCCCTGGATTTGAATTTGTCAAGTTAATGAACTTGTTTTTATTGCGTCATCTGTGTTGGCAGGCCGCGTTTTCTAATACTCGCATCGGACGGCCTTTGGGACACATTCAGCAACGAGGAGGCCTGCAGTTTTGTGCAGGATCATCTCAAGGAGCCAGATTTTGGGGCCAAGTCACTGGCCATGGAATCGTATAAGCGCGGCTCTGTGGACAATATCACCGTATTGGTAATTGTCTTTAGGAACGACGTCTACAAAATTTGCAGCTCATCGGCTGGCAAAACGGGCGACGCTCCTTTGGCCAAATCACCGTCTGTGAAAAACGTCCTCGACCGCTCGAATTCGATCAAAACCAAGTGACGGGACTGCTCATATACAAAAATGCTCTTAGGCCTCCCTGCCCTATTTAAATAGCAACCTAATAAAGTGCCCAAAATATTTATTAATAAGCATTCGCGATGCTTTTGTACCGTCGCCAGCACGAACTATTTTTGTTTAATGCTGACTCAAACTGGGTCGTTTTATATTGTTTTCGTATTAGGATTTTTACAAAACTATTTAAAATTGTTAATTTGTACAAATTGTTTAGCCACATCTCACGTCAACGCACCTTGTTAACCCCAACTTCCTGTACACCACTCATCAAGCTCATAAATATTTATTTAAATTATTTTTGTTATGCACTATGCATTTGTAAACCAGAACAATTTTTTCTAACTTATAAACAAGTTTACAAATAAAATGCCCAAAAAGTTTACCCAATTGTTGTATTATCACTTCAATTTGAAAGAATTTGTTGACATATCCAAATTCGGTTCTTAGACCAGTTTTCAAAGCGAATCATGTGATTATTTTTAAAAATATCTCTGAATATATCAATTTATTAGACTATGCGATCTGTTCTCTGGGGTTTGAAAACAATTTTTAATTATAAATTATAATCACCTCTGGGGACGAAGCGTTCCAATTTAATAAACAAATCGGATGCGTCTGGGATTTTAAACAAATAATCCCCAAACATTAAATCGAGCGCATATTAATTTTAATTTAAAATTGTGCATGATAATCCGATAATCGGAAATCTTTGCACATATCCCAATTTTAATAAGAACAAAACATTTAATTAATTTTTACAAGTGTCGCTTTATATTTATTATTGTTTTGGCATAAACAAATCAATTTGCCATCGATTTATACAGGCTATGTCAAATATAAAGTCCGTTTAGTGAGCTGATACAGACACTTGCCAGACGCGGATGGTGTTGTCGGAGTAGCCGGCGAACAGGGTCTGTCCATCGGTGGACCAGGCCAGGGAGAGGCACTGGGGCTGCTCGGCCTTTGATGTTTGCGAAACGACCTCAGGGCGGAGTTCCTCGACGGTCTTCTTGCATGCCAGATCCCAGATCTTAATGGATGGGCCATAGGCGACGCACAACCAGTAGCGGTTGGGCGAGAAGCACAGGGCATTGATGATGTCGTTGTGCTCCAGGGTGTACAGGTTCTTGCCGTCATTCAGATCCCACAAGAGAGCCTTGGAGTCCTTGCCACCGGAGGTGCAGAGCGAGCCATCGGGCGAGACGGTCACAGTGTTCAGATAGCCGTTGTGGCCATGATGATTGTTCTTCAACTTGCAGTTGGCCAAGTTCCAGACCTTGACGGTGCGATCCCAGCCACAGGACACAATGATGGGATTCGAGTGGTTGGGCGAGAAACGCACGCACGACACCCAATCAGTGTGGCCATCCTCCTGGATGGTAAACTTGCACTCAGCCAAAGTGTTCCACAGCTTGATGGTCTTGTCCCGAGAGCCCGACACGATCTGACGGTTATCAGCCGAGAAGGCAACCGAGAGAACATCCTACAAGCAAATAACAAGAGCATATTAGCTGATGAATTCCTAGTTTAGTGGATGTATTTAATATGAGCATCGGGTATATCTTTTTGCCTACTTACGGAAAGGCTTCACGCAAAAGTATGTCGACTCAGGCGTAGAGAAATGTACAGATGTCAACCAGAAATTCTGCCTCGCATAGGCGCAATATATTTTTTTCTATACATATATATGTATAGTGGTATTGGTGTGCTAACTGAGCCTAACCTTACGCTACGGGTCATGGATACACCAATACCATTTGGGTTGGGAGTTGAGAGAGCAGCAGAGTAAATGCTGCGGCAATTCTGGGCCCTGTGCTAAAACATATCACTTGGAAACTTATCCCACCTTGGTGTGTCCCTCGAAGCGACGAGTAGTCTTGCCGGCAGCCAAATCCCACAGGCGCAGAGTCTGATCCCAAGATCCGGACAGAGCGTAGTTGCCGTCGGACGAGAGCACAACATCGCTGATGAAGTGGGAGTGTCCGTACAGACGCTTCTGGGGATAGCCGTAGTTGGTATCCTCATCACGGGTCAGCTTCCAGACAATCAAAGTCTTATCTAGACAACCATAAATATATTCATTAATAAATCACATAATATTTACAGATATTGCAGAGATGTCGAAGTTATGGGCCGATTTTAAGGACGCCACCTAACCTCACAATTGCTAAGAATACTTGCCACGCGATGCCGAAATGATGGTGTCGGGATCCTTGGGGTTGGTGGCAATCTGGGTGACCCAGCCATTGTGGCCGATCAGCGTACCACGCAATTGCAATGTCTCAGACATGTTTTAATATAACTTATAAAATTGCAACGGGAGCGCTTTTGACACACGTCCAAAGGCGCTGCAGGCTGGCAGAAAAAGAGGCGGAAGCGTCCAGTGTTGTGCAACATAAACAATCGAACGTCTCTGCGATATTATTTACAGAGCTGTCATTAAATGCAATTAATCGATAGATCAACTTAGTTTCAAATGTAGTATTTTTTAGTATTGTAGTACGGCCACACTATTTGACATCTTAGGTCAAAGTAGTCCACCGGAGCCCAGAATATAAATACACCCACACAAATGAGCATAGCACAGCAGGAACAAGCTGGGATTAATCCCCGCAATCCCCATGGTCTGGGTAAGGCATGCAATATCACAATATCATTTAGTTACTCATTTTGGCGCCGCCTACAGGTGATCCGAATGACACAACGTTGCGCAAGGTAGAGCGAGAAGTGCTAATACCAAAAATAATGAGGGATCGCGCGCGCGACGAATTCTGCACCAAAGAGGTGGCGGACTTTGAGGAATGCTGTAAAGCGAGCAGCATATTCATGGTAGCCACCTGTCGGAAACAGAACTCTGCGCTGAGGGATTGCCTGACGCGTTGGTATCAAAACGAGGCCTTCAAAGAAGAGTGTAAAGCCATCTACCTGCAGGAGCGAGCGGATTACCGCAGCACGGGGATACCCAAGAAGAACCGTGTGGAGAAAATGTAGTTTAGGCTTGTTATTGTTTTTGTTTACTTTGCACAAAAGATGTGTAGTTAAAGCGCCGTATCACAGTCTCCTCAATGGTCAGGGATTGCAGGCTTGCCGGCGTGCACAGCGCAGGGTCAAAGTCGTCGTTCAGCTGGTTCACCATGAGTATGAGCACATCCTTGTCCGAGGTTTCGGCAACACGCTGAACACCCTTTAAATTCTTCGCCACGTAATGGGTGTGCATTGCGTTGCCCGACACTTGAACCAGCACCAAGAAACTGGCGTGATATTGCCGGGGACCTTGCTTGTAGATGACTGTGGAGAGTTGATGCCAAATGAAGCGCTGTTTAATTTGGATGTATTTCCAGCAAATAACTTACGAAAGTCGCCGCCAAACTTGATGCCGCTCTTGATTATCCAATTTTTAGATTTAAGATACAGATACGAAGCCAGTTTGTACACAAATTGCCTGTCACAATCCAGCGCAGCCTGCACGTACGCTGGCCAGCTTAGCTCGTTGCCCAGCATATCCCTAATCTCCAATACGCCCAAATAGTAGCCCAGCAAGCAGGCCTCCTCCAGGCCGAGCAGGAGCGTCTCATCCGCCTCTCCGGAAACTGGTCCGCCGCGCGAAGCGCTTCCTTTGCCGTAGCAGCCGTTGTCGTGAAGCGTCCTAATCGGTGCGTGCTCGGCATCTTTTACCTCCACGCAGAGGCCATTGAAGGCGCCTTTATAGCGTTGTCCATCATCTCTTAGCGGGAAGGGTGCAAGTTTGAGAAGTTCTTTGCAACTGGTTCGCTTGCGCTTTAAGTGCGGCGTGAATTCCATAAGACTGGGTTTTGCATATAGTCAAAAGCTGCACTGTTTATAGCCGGATGACACCTGCTTGATTTGTTTGTTACTAAATAGGCAGAGAACCACGCTTGAGCTTTATTAAATATTTAAATTTGCACAAATGAGAGGAATTTTAGATTACAGCTTATTGTTATTAATACGCTTTTGTGGAAATCGCTATGCCCGAACAATATCATGAGGTTTTAAGATGAATTTAATTGTTCTCTTATTCGCCGCAAAAATTATGATTGCGTTGAATGTGTCACCACAGCTTAAAGTTTGCCATTCACATCAAATTGCCAACACTCAACAATTCGCGCCGTGTGGCAACGCTTGAACGCGGCGAACACGGCGAATAAGTCACAAGACCAGTCAGCTGAATTTCGGTGCTGTCGCATTAGTGTGAAAAGACACTCGTAATTTAAATATATTTTTTCTCAGATATTTCTATTGAAATTGTGTGCAAACGCGCGCAACATCCCACATATTGCGTATCACTCTCGACACACTATAAACAGCGATCAAAATGACTACCGCACTGTATTTGCCCGAGGAAAACATCGGTAAGAGCCAACATGCCAGCAAGCGCGAGCAGCTGACCTCTGTGAAAAATCGAAGTGGTGCCAGTGCAGCTGCCCCGCGGGCCCCAAGTCGCATTTAATAGTTAACTGCAAGTGCCTTTGCATTCACAGACATGATTGCTGCCACTTCGGTGCTGCAGCAGCAGGCAGCCGATATACGCACCAAGACGATCAACTGGGCGTCGTATATGCAGTCGCAGATGATCAGCCAGGAGGACTTTCAGGCAATTAGCGCGCTGGACAAATCGCGCGCCTCCTATTTGGCACAGAACTCCACGCAGGTGGTAAAGACGCTGCTGAATCTGGTCTCGCATCTGTCCAAGGACTCGACAATTCAGTATATACTCGTGCTGCTGGACGATCTGCTGCAGGAGGATCGCTCTCGTGTCGATCTGTTCCACGAGACTTCCGGCAAGTTGAAGCAGTGCGTCTGGGGCCCGTTCTTGAACTTGCTTAACCGCCAGGATGGCTTCATTGTCAACATGGCGTCGCGCATATTGGCCAAGTTTGCATGCTGGGGCCACGAGACCATGCCCAAGTCTGACCTCAACTTCTACTTGCAGTTCCTCAAGGACCAGTTGGCCACCAATGTAAGTAAGCCCCAGCACTAGCGATATATCCATGCCCATTCCCACTTCCAATTGCATGTGTATGTTGTAAATAGAAACCCAGTCAGCTACACTAGGTACATATATAGACATCTCTACGTATATATAGCATGCAGCATGACATTATTTATATATTCTAGGCCTGAATCAATATTTATTCTGAGCGATACTAACAATCGTTATGTAGTTGGGACAAAACGATTCTAGTATACAGTGAAAACAGTTTCAAATGGACAGCTGCAGCGCTCGCATAGCTGAGGAACATATATATAGTTGAACGTGTCGAAGAAATAACAGAAACACAGGCAAAGCCATATTCAATTAAACTTCTCCACAGTTTCTTCTTCTAACTGCTTTCGGCTAGATAAGTTAAGATATTATTACCCTTTGAAGACTACCTTAAAGAGCTGTCCGTTAAGAGAGCTTTCACTGTATATTGAAGAATATGTTTTGGTTAAAAATTGATTAGACAAAGATCAATTCAGGCACTCGCAACATCTAATGTCAGCATCGTAATCATCGGCATATTATAAAACATATTCAACTTTGAAATATTGACAAATTCGCAACGAATTACTTAGTATTAGACATACTACAGTAAAGTATCCTAAGCATGACTCCCTTGCATGTCTCCATGTCTTATGTTTACAATTAGAAATAAGAAATTGAATATAGCATCTGGACAATGAGTACACATATTCCATGATATTGTGTGCAGCACCATTATTATTATATCTATCGGAATGGAACATACAAAATAGATAAGATAGATAAAATGGATATGAGATTGCATACAAAAACTAAATTTAAGCAATGGATCCAATTAATACCATTTATTAATATATTAGCTATGTGATAGGGGCAACCGATTCATATAGGGTAGCTGGCACAGTCGTATATAAAGGCGGACGTGCCTATAGAAACTTTGCTCGTATGCCTCATTAGAAATTTTATACTATTCTAATTTGGTCTGGTTGGTTCTATGGCAGCTATATAATAGGTATTTTCCAAGTTAGTAATATAAATATTTAAACTTGTGTGTGTTCGTTTTTCGACCAATCGCTTCTATTGATTCAATTTACACCTTTCCTTTCAAATGGAAATGGGCAACTAAAGGGTTTCCCTTGACGTGCTTATAAAGAATTCTTATTAATAGTCGTATATGAGACATAGTTCTACAATATGTACACGATTTTACCTTGAAAATGGAAGAACTCTCCGTTTAATTGAGGTTTTTGCTCTGCAACGGTTGCATTTTGGGCAAAGTTTGTTTTTGCTTCAAGCTGGAGCTATGTTAAGTAATTGTAAATGGTTGTACAAATTCAAAAGACGTACTTGAATCCAACCAATAGTGCTTCCCGTTGACTCTTTATTACTTTTACTTGCAAATGCTGGCAATATGTCAATAATTGCCTTCTATTTAAATGCACTTAACAGAAATTAAACTGCACGCTTTTCGTTAACTTTGCTTGCTTTACAAATTGTACTTACCCGAAAAAAACAAGAAACCTCCAAAGTTATGTCTTGGCGTGAAAACTCTAAAAATGAGCCGTAGAATAAGCGTTGGTCAGGGCCAGGCAAACAAAAAACTTAGCTAAACGTATATAAAACTATTTTAAAATATATTTCGACATTTTTTTTTTTTTTTTTGTGTAACTTAACGCGACCTTGCCTGACCCGGCCCGGCCGTGATTAAAATATCTTTGCATTCTACTCGTGTGTTGTGTACACGATTCATTGTCACCGTCGGGTAAACAATACAATTAATAATGTTCGTATAACCGTTGCGAAAAGTTAAAGACAATATACATATATCTATATATTATATAATATAATATTAGTATCATCGCACCGCATCGCACCGCATCGATCGCATTCACGTCTGCTGTGTGCATCTGATCCTCCACCAACCACCAACTGCACCACTTTCACCGCAACAAAATCAAATAAACAATCATATTACGTTTGATCGTTACGATTTCTGTTATTACCTGCGTCAAAAGTCAACAAACACCAAATTTACCTGTTGCACTAATTTCGTTTTGTGAAACAAGCCTACTATTTTATGTATTTTAATTTAATGCCAATTTACTATTCAACAAAAAAAAAAAAAAAAACCAAAAAAAACAAAAAACAAACGCAACGAATCAAATTGTTGACTCAACACCAATAACCGAATTACCAACAACAAACACGAACTCGGCGGATGTGCGCGCTGATCCACCCGTCCCGATCGACCGAACGCCCGCCCGCCCCACGCACACACTCCGACCCACACTCTTAGAGCACTGCCTATCTGCAGGAGATGGCCCTGATGGCCAAGCGGGCGCAAACGATCATTGTGCATACGCATGGACAGCATGGCAAAGATCATCATGGCCACCAGTACAGTCCCAATGTGGCCCAGATGCAGCAGCGTCACGATCTGGCCAATGAGAGTTACCGCGAGGTGCGATCCTCCTCCTCCTCCGATCAGCAGCAGGATGGCAAATGTGTTATACCGGTATTCCAAAATGCAGCCCAAAAACTATCCAATCACTCACCCAGCCAAACACACACACACACTCACACAGACACAAATACACAAACCAATTATTAAGAAACTACCAAAACACAACCAAACCTATACACACACACACACACTCACTCACTCGTTTATGCTTTAAAATATCGTGAATACGATATGCAGTTGGTCGCAAGAATATGTGCTACTATTTCGCATTAATTATATCCAATATCGTATATATCTTTAATCGTAAAACCTAAAGTTCATGAAAATTTCGTATTTCATTTTGCTTGAATACTCTTCAAAATCGTGCAGATAATTCTGATTTTATATAGATACGCTTCAGCTATAATTTCTGGAATATTTGAAACACCTTGGTATGCATTGTACTTGCATTTGAATTTGATATTATTGATTTAAGCAAACGTTTTTCAAAAGTACGAGCTTAACTTAAAAAGGGCTGCATATACAAAGATATATACAAAATCAATTTGTTAAAAACATTTAGGAGAAATATCGTAATATCGTAATTAAATATCGTATTCTCTGAACTGCATAATCGTTGTATGGGCGTATGTGTGTGTGTGTGTCTGTATATATACCTTATCAAAAGATAACTGTTTACTAACTCCACTAAATATCATCGATCTAAATTGAAGACGAGCAGCAGAGCAACAAATGTATAATACGTTAAATGATCTATGTTAAACGGTAACGGTTAAGGTAAAGGTAAATTTAATTAAAAAAAAAAAAACATCAAACAACAAGAAGAAAAAAAAACCCGGTGAAGGTGTGAACGCAAACACAAACAAAAACAAACTATTGTCATGCCCATCGTATATGGATTATCATGCAGGACTGCGATTTCTGTCTTATATATATATTTATCTATTATTTATTTTTTTGGTTTATTTAGAGCACACCCCTCTGTCTGTCTCTTCCACTCTTTATTATGTAGCTGTAGTAACTGTTGTGTTGCTGTTGTTGTAGCGCATAGTCGAAACAACTTCGGTTGGTCAATTAGAAAAAATCTGCAAAATCAAAAGAACAAAAACAACAAAAACTGTCATAACTAACTCGCTACTAAAAAAGCAAAAATCAAATGCATACATAGAAAAGCTCTGGTATCGGAGCAAGCTAGACCCATATTGATAATGCCTGTGTTGTGCCTCCACAGAACAACGAGTACATCCAGTCGGTGGCGCGCTGCCTCCAGATGATGCTACGCGTGGATGACTATCGGTTCGCGTTTGTCAGCGTCGATGGCATCAGCACCCTGATACGCATCCTGTCGACGCGTGTCAACTTTCAGGTGAGTTTGAAATTGAAATGTGTAAATTGTTTGGTACAATTTAAATTCGATTTCTTATTCATAGGTGCAATACCAGTTGATCTTCTGCCTGTGGGTGCTCACTTTTAATCCCTTGCTGGCGGCCAAGATGAACAAGTTCAGTGTCATACCCATATTGGCTGATATATTGAGCGATTGCGCCAAGGAGAAGGTCACACGCATCATTTTGGCGGTCTTTCGTAATCTAATTGAGAAGCCCGAGGACTCCTCTGTGGCCAAGGATCATTGCATTGCCATGGTGCAGTGCAAGGTTTTGAAGCAGCTGTCGATTTTGGAACAGCGTCGCATTGACGATGAGGACATTACAGCCGATGTGGAGTATCTCACTGAGAAGTTGCAGAACTCCGTGCAGGACCTCAGCTCCTTTGATGAGTATGCGACCGAGGTGCGCAGCGGCCGCCTCGAATGGTCGCCAGTCCACAAATCGGCCAAATTCTGGCGCGAGAACGCTCAACGTCTCAACGAAAAGAACTACGAACTGTTGCGCATTCTGGTGCATCTGCTGGAGACCTCAAAGGATGCCATTATTCTGTCCGTTGCCTGTTTCGATATTGGAGAGTATGTGCGTCACTATCCACGCGGCAAGCAGTGAGTCAAAATATCGAGCACAGCGCCCTGCTGCCTATTTTACATCGAAATCTCTTTATAGTGTGCTGGAACAGCTGGGCGGCAAACAGATTGTGATGCAGCATTTGGGCCATGAGGATCCGAATGTGCGTTATGAGGCCCTGCTGGCCGTGCAAAAACTGATGGTACACAATTGGTTAGTATGATATTCGAATGCTTTAATCTCACCTATCGCACTCAGGTGCCCCTCGATACGCGCACCCGCATTTATACCAATACGGGTGTTATTGCATAATTTCAAGCATTCCCATCAAAAGTTTCGACATCAAATCTCAAAATTTGCGTGTGTTTCTTATCGTCTCTCTACTAGGGAATACCTTGGCAAACAGCTGGAAAAGGACAACGAGAACCAAAAACCAGGCGCTGCTCCCATTGCTGGCAAGGCCTAAGGCATCAATGTCGCTCAGCTACACCATGTACAACCGTTAGCCAAGGGATCGCCAGATGCTTTAACAACTTAACTAACAATAAGAGCTGGGGGCATGGCGTTCCATATAGTCGCCACCTCCATCTCCCATGCCCATTAACAATATCGTTTTATTCTTGCTATCATTTAAGCGCATATTTCTTTTTCCTAATCTAAGTACCATAACGAATCCGTTAAGGATTCCAGATGGTGCCAGCGTTTGTTGTCGAAAACTAATTAATTGTTGCTCTTTGTTGGCATTCCGCACCAGTAGAGAGATGAAGGAGAGTGAAAGTTAATTAGAAAACAGTGCAAAAAATACACAGAAAATTATATATTATTGTCTTCTTGTTTTGTTGTTATTATTGTTTTAATATTTCTACTTTGCGCTGCTGTACAGAGTTTGTCTCACGATTTCTTGCAAGTCCATAGTAAAATTGTATTATATATTATCGCATCGGCGCACATGTACAACCTATCAAGTATTTCTGTTCTTTAAAGCAAATTATGCAAAACAAAAAAAAATTAAATAAATGCAATATTATTAAATGTTACTAAGCGTGTGAAATATTTGCTAATAATTGCAATGGCAAATTCGTTTACCAAAACCACATTAAATTGTTAATAAAGTGTATAATAAATTTTTGAATGTAAAACCAACATATACATAAATAAATATAAATGAAAATTACATTTTGGAAACTGAGCCGATTGCAAATATCAGAGTATGTTATTTAATAACTTGGTGAGCTTTTAAAGCTTATTGTTATTAAGCTTCTTATTTTTTCGCTCACTAAGCGGAAGAGCTTTAATATTAGCACGTGCTTTTTAACGTGCCAAATCACCTGAAACTTCAGTAGTTCAGAAAAACTAGTTATATTTCGGTTTTATTTTGTTTTTATTTAATTTGTTGTTATTTATCTCGTGGGCGTCACAATTTATTCGGCTTTAAATTAGTTATATCCACTTTATAAATTAAATAATGTAATTGTCCTATTTAAACTTTAAAATTAACATAATTGTATTTTTATGTTCAGTATTCTGCTTTAAATTAGTTGTTATTATTGTGACCCGAATACGTGCCATCATCGTCAAGATCAGCTCGGAGGCGATACTGACACCCGTAATACAGTTTCCTGTTGCTGAGGTGGAGGTGCTGGTGTTTAGGATATAGATGCAGATGGCCTCAACTTTACTTGGTAGCCGACTTCAGGTAAGCGATCAGATCACCACGCTCATTGGGCTTCTTCAGACCGGCGAAGATCATCTTGGTGCCGGGGATGTACTTCTTGGGGTTCTCCAGATATTCGAAGAGTGTGTCCTCATTCCAGGTGATGCCCTTGGCCTTGTTGGCGTCTGTGTACGCGAAGCCGGGCGCCTGGCCGGTCTTGCGACCGATCAGACCGTGCAGGTTGGGGCCCACCTTGTGCTTGCCACCGGCCTCGACGGTGTGGCACTGTGCGCAGCGCTGCACGAACAGCTTCTTGCCCTTCTCAACATCACCAGCTGGTACGCCCATTATAGCTAATAAATATTTGATGTGTTAACACCGACTCGACTGGAAAGAGAGGGAAGCAGGAAAGCAATTAGAGTCGTTATATAAACAATAGATAATTGTTAACGCTAGCAAATTTTTATCAACATTTTTGTCGGCCCGACGCATTAATCAGTCGCACTGATAACAACTACACACGCTACCTATTAGTAATGCACCCTACACTAAACCATTAGATTATCTAACATCCTCCACCCCAGACCCAACTGCCCGCCCAAAGTTCATTCAACGTTCTTCACGCGCGAGAAGACGAACAACGTCATCAAATACACAGACATACACTCATACACCTACACACGAGCTGGTCACATGTCGTCGCTATGCAGTGTTGGCAAGCAAAAAGCTAACGGCGGTATGTAAAAAAAAAAAGCTAAAAATCTCCTAATGCTCAAATTATAAAGCTGCCACTTAATATAATAGATAATAGATAACGAATCTGGCAATGCGACGCTTTGAATGTAGTCCCTAACCAATTTCTACTGTATTTGCATTATCATTTATTTGCAGCCACACTAACCTAAAAAAACGGCTAAATTTGACGGAAAAAAACAAGAGTTGGCTACACTGTCATGCTTTGGCATCACAAGTAAAATGTTAATTGTGTCCGATTTTTCTCCCGCACGGCAACAGGCTAAAACTCCAAAGTCGCAACACTTCCCAGTAATACAGTTTCAGTGTCTATGTCGCGGTCAGCATTAAATTGAGCTAACGGCTTATCCTATGACTAATTGCATTGCATGCAGTTATGCGAACTTGAACAATTTGTTGCGTGTGAGAGCAAAGCTACATTGGAATGAGTAAGTCACCTACACAAGCAGACTGAGACGCACACACACACACATACACATTTTAGAGAGTGATTGCATGAAAGGCGACAATGTCATCTAGCTGCCGGCCTTGGTGAGTTAAAAAAACCACTTTTTCTATAGGAAATGCATTGGAAGCAGGCCAAATACTGATGCTTTTGTCTCTGTGTGTGTGTGTGTATATGAGGATGCGTGAGAGCAGGTAACAAAGAAATTAGGCCAGTGTTCTCGCAAGAGTTGAATTGATTGCATAAGCGAACTGCGATTTTCCAACAAAAAGAAAAAGGCATCAAGTGGGCAATGAAATTCACAACTTGATTAGCAACCACGTGGCGCGCAAATTAAAATTCTACGAAATGGAAGCAAAATTTGTTCATTAGCTAAAGCGTGGGAGCGAGATAGCAAATGATCGTGTGCTCCTTTTGACACTAGGTTTGCTCATGTAATCGACTCGCGCTCTTTTTGATGTCAATGTGACTCTTAATGTATGCATACATATATATATATATATGTTATGCATAAATATCATATATGTGATATTTTGAATAAAAGTTGTTGACTTTTGCACTTTTACGCACACTTTTAGCATTTACATTAACACATGTATACACACACACACACACCCTTGCATAAACAGTCACACGTTTATGTAACGCAAACAACCCCCAAAAAAATATATATTTGGCATGCGATAATTTTTGCGTTACACTTTGAACATAATGCGATCATACATTATGTAAGAAATTCTCAAGGTGCATTAGTATTTATCACACAATCATTTGTACACTTTGAACACACTTAATCAATAACTCAGGGTTTTATACATTTTTATATTTACGTCATTGTTAAACTCCGGCTACTTACATTGAACACAAACCGTCGTTTACTGCGAACAGTTAGCTTACGAATGAGACAAAAAATCCCCATTGGCCAAACTGATTGGCACAGATGAGAATCGTTATCGTATCGAAATATCGATATACGAAATTAAACGATACTTAACCATGACATTGAATATATTTTAAAATGTACATATACGAAAACAGTTACATACGTTTCATACGTAAGCTCCAAATATAAACACTAGTGTAATACGAAAAGCTCACTTGGTAAACGTTTACAACAAAATATTGATTATGACATTTTTTCCAATATTTCTTAATTTTTGAAAATGTGATATCGATATTTTTTATTATTAATATCTGTGCAAAGGTACGGCAGAAAGCTAAATGATATGTCACGCTAAGTGTTGTAAAACACTATTTGCTTGGAATGTAGGCGCGAACATTTAAATATTATTTAAACAAAAATGCTCTAGAAATTTCTGATCATGTTTAATTAAAGACAATAATGTTGATGGTGTATGTGAGCTTTAATTGTATTCCATAATATTAATAAAAAATAAATCGAAACTATTTAATTATTTAAGATAGCACCCTCCCCATTTTTTGATTTTTTTTTTGTATTCCTTAATTATTTATTTGATTTGAGGTAAGCAATCAAATCTGCGCGATCCTCAGCTTTTTTGAGCCCGGGGAAAACCATTTTAGTGCCGGGTATATATTTCTTTGGATCCTTCAAATATTCATCCAGATTCGCATCTGTCCAGACAACGCCCTTCTTGATATTAGCATCCGTATATTTGTAGCCAGCAGCAGTGCCGCATTTGCGCCCAATAATACCGCCCAGATTAGGTCCTTGCTTATGCTTGCCGCCTGGTTCAGCTGTGTGGCATTGGGCGCATTTTTGAACAAAGATCTTCTTGCCATTCTCCGCATCAGCACCCATGTTTGAATGTGATTTGCCTATAATAATAAAAAAAAATAAGTTAGTTCGTTTTCTTTGAGAGCTTTTAACTAATGGTTTCCTTAAAACAAAGCCTGGCGTGGCCTTCAGCTCACGCCTCAAGGACATCGCTGACATAAGAGGGTGCGGTAGGCAAAAGGTGGGCGGTTGGTCGGTTGGATTGGTTTTTTTCGTCGCTCCTTTGTTGAGCTTATGTCACGACAACCTCAGCCTGAGCCACGCAGTCTGCCAAGTTAATTGCCTAGCGCACAGAATGTGGGTGTGAATGTGGGTCGTTACGTGCGTGCATGGTAAATGTGGAAAACGTGGCTAACTGCAGTCGTGGCCGCTTACTCACATGCAAAAAATAGAAGCCGCCGTCATAACTAGCAATTTATACATATGCATATGTATGCTTGCATGTATATATGTATGCATGTATGTATGTGCATTCATATGTATTCAACACAAAGTATTTTTCGCCAATTCATCTTGAGTATTCTATTCTATTTATAGCCGCCAACTTTTACAGACAATTTAATTGCCGCCCAATAAACGTGTGTGTGTGTGTGTGTGTGTGCGCGTCCACTTAAATTAAATTAAATATGCATCGATGATGACAAACATGATGACAACTGCACGCTCTCTGAGCTTCTCTGTTGTTTTTGTTTTTTTTGACACTCTCAGCTGCACACAACTGTTTTAGCGAGACAAAGATAGCAATAGCATAGGAATTGGGTCAGACAAATGAAAATGGTTAAAATGGAACAAAGAGCAAAGCATAGCGCACGACTTTTGCGTCAAAGTCGAATGGCACAAGTAAACGGCGGCCATAAACAACGGTAAATATGTATGTATGCATGTGCATATATGCACAAACACATGCATGTTGTATGTACATAATTCAATTAGCTGGAGCCCTTGAGCAACGCAGCCCACGACAACATGTGCTTTGAACATTTCCTTTCAATTAAAACGCATTTTACGCATGTTTCTTGCGGTTTACGCAAAACCAGATGCCGCCAAACACGCAAAGCACAAACTACAAAACAAAAAAACAACAGGAAGCAGTGTAAGAGGAAGAGAGCGAGAGCGAAAGAGCAAATGCCTGAAATATACTGTTACTTAAAATGTGCTTGTCTCTTGTGCTGCCTGCCTTCAGCGGTTTGCATCAGGTGTTTTGCCAACTCTCTGGCCTGACCTAACCCAGTTTGTGTTAACCATAAATCTTGCACAGACAACGCCTGCCGCTGATGCTGCGGATGTGGCCTGCAGTCGCCTCCTGACCGATGACCACTATAAATAAATGACGCATGGAATTGAATTACGCTTGAGCTAACAATTCGATGGTGGGAATAGGGAAAGTTTAGCGCCGGCGACCAGTTGGCCAGGGCTGGAGAGATGCATTGCAGCTGCAGTCTATATAAAGCATGTAGCTGTGTCATGGGGACAAACAGCATAAACCACAGAAAAGGGGAAAGAAAATAGGAAAATTGAAAAAATAACATTCGCATTGCTCACGTGGATTTGTTGCTGTTGCGCAATTTCTTTTTGGCTTTGATGTCGCCCGAAATCAACCAACCACCCACCCACCCACAAAAACACCCGCTGTTATGGACTATGTGGCTGCATAGAAAAACCCTACGTTTTCATTGTGTATGTTTCAAAATGTTTATTTTGTGTTGTTCCTGTGCTCTGCTGACGCTGCTGCTGCTGCTGCTGCTGGCTGTGGGGCTGCCTTTTTTCTAGAACGAGGTCGCTGACTGCCCTTCAACGCGTTGCCTGAGACTGAGACGACGTCAAGTTACATAAGCAGCAGCAGCAGTGTCGTTAGTTGGCTGTGGCTTTTATGCTACTCTTGCCAAATTTCCCCCATTTCAAATTTACATGCAGCGCACACGGAGAGAGAGTGATAGAGAGAAAGAGAGAACGTGTGACAGCGCCAGCGTAGAGCGTGTGCCATGCAGCTGCATTAGTAGCGTGGGAAAAGTGAATGATAAATGTCTTTAAATTTTTACCAAGCGATATGCATCAATTTATAACGTTTTTTAACTTATGCATCCCGCTACGTACATACCGTATGTGCATATTTATATTTATGCGCTGCATGCGAATGCAGCGCGTGGGCAGCAGCAACAAATAGTGACAACACAACTTTACGCTCACCTGATTGACGACTCTCTCGAGAAACGGTCTGTGCTTGTTGCTCTGCCTCCCACTATTCTTATGCTGAGCGCCAAGCTGCGCTGTTGTTGATTTTGCTGTTGCTGGTACGCTCTTACTCTCTTCGCTGCTTTTGCTTTTTAACGGTAAGGCTGCTGCTCAACGGCTGCGTGCGTTTTCATTCAGTCGACTGAGCTCGCGGCGCAAGGTTCTCGTTTGTTTTGGCCTCTGCTATTCTCAACAGTTCGTTTTGTTGGCAAGTTTTACGCGTCGTGCGAATTGGGAATAAAACAATTGAAAAGTTACGACGATTTTGCTTAATAGAACGGAAAATTTGTTAGCAGCATTAACGTCGAAAGCTAGCTGCGTTCTGATCTGTTCTGTCTGATTTCTCAACACACACTCCGACAAAACTTGGGCGACATCTGTCAGAAGCCTGCTAGATTCCATTCAATCTCCACACACATATCAAAGCGTAGCGTCTCGAAAAGGCGCTGCCAACTCCTGATTTTACGGTAAGTCTTGCCAACTTTGCATTCAAATTCAGTGTTGTATAATGCTGTTTAAGCAAAGCATTAGAAGGCGTCACTTCATTTGTGTCCTTGGGTGGCTCGTGTCCTTGAAAGCGTAAAAACCAAGTGGCTATCATCTATGTGTGTGTGTGTGTGTGTGTGCGAGCTAGGTTGTTACGCATTTTACGTAATCAGTCCAACTTTATAGTTCGCGTTTCACTCAATCGTAAATCTGAGCTGGTTTTTCATTTGTTTTTAAGACCCAATTTAAGTTAAAACCCAGTTCCTTACAATGGCCCATTTATTCTTAATATTGAAAGAATTTGCTTGGTTAGTTGAAAATTGGGCTGCGGACGCTGAGAATATGTTATGTGTGTGTGTGTGGCATGATGCATGAGATGGAAATGCATGAATGTGGCAACTGTTGCTCTCAAATATAAAAATGTTTTAATGCTAAATTGGAATCAGAATAGACTATATTCAGACCTGCTTCAGGAATTTCTTATAATTTCAGAAATAGCTATTTTTATTTATTATTATTTATTTCAAGCAAAAGAAACTACTGAAGGCATTATGCAACCACTAAATCAATATTTTTCTAAAAAAAAAAAGGAACATAAATCCCAACATATTTTATTTGTTTAAGGTATACAAAGAATTTTGTGTGCTAAAAAAGAATTGTATGTAATGCTCCTTGAGTATGAAGTATGTTAAATTAAAGTAAAAAAAATCTTAAAGTTATTTAGCTGCTATGAAGTACAATTAATTATTGCTGCCATCAACTGATGCTGCTTTGAGTAATTTGCTTGGCATGTTGATGAAGTTTTTCTAGAGCACTCGAAAGAATGTTAATTTCATCTCACATATTTCTTTTCTTTTTTTTTTATACCCTGAACCCATTAAAAATGGGTATAAGGGTATATTGTATTTGTGCGAAAGCCAAATGTATGTAACAGGCAGAAGGAAGCATCTCCGACCCCATAAAGTATATATATTCTTGATCAGCATCAATAGCCGAGTTGATCTAGCCATGTCCGTCTGTCTGTTTGTCTGTCTGTCCGTCCGCCCGTCCGTCCGTCCGTCCGAATGTGTGAACACAAGGATCTCAGAACCTATAAGAGCTAGAGACTTGAGACTCCTAGTTCCCGCGCAGATCGAGTTTGTTTCCGATAATCGATAACTTACTCCGTTTCCAAGCAATCGATAAAAATCGATATCGATATCCTGTTTTTTTGGGCAATTTTGGTAAATAATAAGAGCTAGCGTCACCAAACTTGACATATAGCTTCTAAAATATAATATATATATGCATTTAATGTTGGAAGCAGAAGGTTCAGGGTATCCCCTAGTCGGGAGCTCCCGACTAGAACCTCTTACTTGTTTTTTTTCATTTTATGTTCACATCAACATGTCCTTTCAGCTGGTTTGTCGACTCTCTGGCAACGTTAACAATGTGCTTTGTTTATTAATTACTTTGCCTCTTTGCGTTAGTTGCATTGCCTGCCTTTATATGGGCCAATGAGCATTGTGGTCCGCCCACTTTGGGTTACGCCCACTGTACACACAGCAGGCATCAATTGTGGCTATCATATTGTTATTAATTCGCTTTATGTGCCAGCACTTAAAGTACATCATTTATATTAATTAAGAGCGGCACAGTCACATATAAACGTTGGCATATTGAAAGAATGTTAACATTTTGCCATTTCATTGATTGTTACTGGGCACAAAATAGTGCGTCATAATTCCGTATAGTATCTGTTGACGTTCTATATGCTAGCCCAGCTGTGCTTCTATTTAATTTGGGTCAACTCCAACGCGGACCACATTGCCCAATCTGTTATGTGTGCCGCACTTCTGCCATATCGTTAAATGCACTTGGTTCCAAAAAAAGTAAAAAGAATTATTCCGAAAATAAGTACATGTCGACACACACACACACACACACACACACACACACACACACACACATCTGTGCGGCAATGAGTACCCCATTTTCGAGTATGAATACTCCTATTTATCGCAGTGTTATCGCTGAGGTTACATTTACAGGCCAGAGACTCGGGGAAATCAATATTTGTGGCCCAAATAAAAAAGAATAAAGAGCCCAACAACAAATGAAACCCAAAGCGAGGCATTAGGCAGATTATATCACTCGGGGGGCGTGCGACCACTTGCCCGATAAGTCACAGTTTTCCCTAATATATTTTCCCCTCAACTTGCTCGTGTGCATTTTTTTTGTTTTTTTGTTAATAAACATGCAATAAACTAAAATGGAGGGAGTTAATTTATGGGAGTTTCATAGTCAAGGGAAAATTCAGCTTCAGATTTGAGTACACAAGTCTGAATAAAAATTCCACAGATTGCATGAAAATGGCACTCACTTAATAACTTATATTCCGGTTGTTTTATGAACTTGTTGCCTTTTGATGGTCAGATTATAAATATTTTATGGATAATTGTTAGAATGAGAGAAATGAGTCAGAAATTGTTGTACTACAATAATATATTGTTCATTTAATAGTAATAATAATACAGCATTTTGGTGAACAGAATTATAATGTCAAAATGTTATGGAATGCGATACATGATAAAATGAATAAAAATAACTTTGTTTATTGCTATTTTTTATTTATTGAATAATAATTGAAGCACACAGTATTATAATGAACTATTGTCTCAATGACAAGATCCGAAATAATACTCTTACGAGTGTTTTTAATTGCTATTATATTATATTATATGCCAGTTACTTTAAATAGTAGTCCGATGTTACCAAGAAGTGGCGAGACATTTGGTTTTAGTTTGGTTAAAATACTTTCAAAACTTGTTGAAAAAATTAAAGAAAAAAAAAAAGACGTTCTATTGATTATTCCTATTGTTGCTATATGATATAGTAATCTGATGCTTATAAATTTTTTGGAAAGGGAATTTGTTTTTGCATTGTTTTCTCAATAGATATCTAGAAACTTCAAGCACCTTTCTATGTACTGCTCCGAAAATCGAAGAGCTAAATGCATATATTCTAAAGCTAGCTTTAAAACTAAGGTATAAATATGCATAGAAAGAAACCGAAATTAGCGTATGGCCAGGAACTCAGTTTGAGTCGTGTTGACCTGATCAAGAATCTATAATTTATGTGTTTTACATCATATAATAAAATGAAATGAAATCTACACTTCGTAAGTGTAGAAAATTGAAAACTATCACGCTTTTCTTAGGAAAGTTTTCAAATAAAAATCTCATTGAATGCACATTTGTTTGCTGTGCTCGGCTTCAGTTCTCTTGTTTCTTAAATGGTTTTCAATCAATTGTTAAGACACGTTCTATTAGAGCTGAGTTATGTTGATGGCATGAATAAATCTTATTTATTCAAATTGTTTCTTGGTTATGCAAAACAGTTGCAAACATTGATTGAATGCGATTGACATCAAGTTAATGACTAGCCAGCACTTGTAGCTTATTTAGAATTCGACCCAACTCCAGAGCTCTGAGCGTCAGCTCTCAGCTCAGTGCAGAAATTGAAAATGTACACAAATTAAGCTGAGGAAATAAACAAGCCTGGAGTGCTTCATATTGATGATGCGCCAGGAAAATGAGAATGAAATTTATTAAATTTTGATAGACAACTGCGCGCACTTGACAGACAGACAGCTGGGCAAGACTACGAATGACTGACTGACGGACTGACAAATCATGCCAATTAGACTTAAATGAAAATCGATGAGCATTTCGCGCCCAACTCATCCTATGTCAACTCTAGAAAAGGTCAAATTGTAAACGGCGTATAGCGTTGATCAAATATGCAAATGGTGCTCAGGTCAATTTCATTAGAGGTGTGGCTCAGGTGTGCGTGTGCGTGTGCGTGTGCGTGTGTGGTCCCAGTCGCAACAAAACTAACAGTCATCTCTGTTTGCTCACGCCGCACACTCACAGAGAAAACAAGTAAGAGTGCTCTAGGCGGGATGCCCGACTAGGGGAAGAACCTGAATCTTCTTCTGCCAAACGAAATTTGGGCTTCGTTAGCTATAAAAAGATACTTGATCTGTATATAATATTCTAGATGTCCAATTTGGTAACTGAAGCCATTTAAACCAAAGACATTTGCTCAAAAAGCAAGATTTCGATATCGATTCTTATCGATTGCTTCAAAGCGGGGTCATTTATCGATATTTCAAATCTCTAGCTCTTATAGGACGGACAGACAGTCAAATATGGCTAGATCGACTCACCTTCTGATGCTGACCAGGAATATATATACCCTGCCTGTTACATACATTTGCTTAAAAACATGATGCCCTTTTTAGCCATTTTGTCAATCAGTTTAATGGGTATGAAAAGAAAACCCAATGCAAACACTTGAACACGCGTGTGTGTGTGGTATGAAAACTGAAAAACTCAACTAGTTTTTCTCGTCCAGAGTTCAAATTGAATTTTATGTGCTTTTTGGTTTTATTTTGTTTTTGTAAATTAATTTCGTGCACGTTTGTTTTCGTCGCTAGTTTTACGAGCTTTACAAATGATGCTGAAAATTGTTTACCAAATCATTTGAATGAAGGCCATTAGTTGTGCTGCCTTCGCGGCATTTCTTATCAGGCGCTTCAAGCAACACACATTTTCCCATCATTATGTAAACAGCTGGCCCCTTAGCCCCCTTATCCCCCATCCCCAAACCGCGGCCCCTTAACGAGTGTGATTAGGGGTCTCAGCTAATGAGCCACAGCGAGAGCATCGCAATTTCTTGTGGCCAACTTTGAACTTCGTGTTTTTTTTTCTGTATTTGCTTCGACTATTTATTTATTGATTCTGCTCGATTGTTTATTATCGTAACTGTTTCTGTGCGCATTTTATGCGCAATAATGTTCAAATATTTGCAATCTATAGTTGA